ACTCTGATAATTTTAATACAAACAGATTGGACCAGTTATATTGATTCTCTGACCCCTAAAGTGGCCACTAAACTTTTTAGTGGTCTAGTAATAGCACTTAGACCTCTATAGTGGCCACTCATTTTTAACCCCTCAAGTGTCCACTAATTGGACTACTATGATGGCCACTGAAAATTTTCCCAGTAATGACTCTCCCATTCGGTAGAAGTCATTTAGCCATTCCCAATGCGGACATTTTTCCATCAGATGTGTGTAATTTTTAGGAATTTATTTAGTTTTACTTGAGCTCGTAAATCCCTTCTGGTTTTTTTCCTGAATTCTTGCGAATTCGAGTTCGGACCGCAGCGCGACCGCAACGCGTTCATAAAACGCGAATGACTTTAAAAAAACTCTGGTTTTCAAATTTTTTTCTATACTTTTTTTCTCAGAATTTTTCCCTTTTTAAAAATTAATTTCTCGTTCTGAATGTGATTTCTTAATAAAAATCGCTCCTAATTCTTATTTCTACGTTCTTATTTCTCACTAAATTTTTTTGAATACTCTCATTTTTTTGCAGTTTCTTGGTTTGATGGACGGTGACGAGAATTTACAGCCTACTATTATTGACACGTGAGTGAAAAATTATGTTTTTTTCTTCTACTTTTTTTGAAAGTTCTGTTTTTTTCTTGTACTTTGACCTTTCTACTGAAAAAATCTGACATTTTGAGGCCGAATTCGAAAAAAATGCGAATTTTCTTGAAAAAAATCATTTTTTTCGAAGCAATTCTTCATTTTTTTCTTCTTTGTTTCTCAATAACATGGATTTTAATCTTAAATTTAATTGATTTTTGAACTTTTTGAAGATATTTCCTGAAAAATACGTGTTCTATGGCCGCATTTGGAATGGCTTTAAAGCTTAAAAAACCTCCCTCTTAAATGGAAATTTTGAAGCCTACACCTTGATTTTCAAGTTTTTTTATATTCCTCAACTATTACGAAAATCTAGAACTTTAAAAAAATTTTCCATGGCCGCATTTGGAATGGATCAAGCTTCAGAGAACCCCCTCCTAGCCATTCCAAATGCGGCCATCTTGCGACACTTAAAAAGGATATTTTTTATAAAATTTTCCAACTGAAACTTTTTTTTCGAGAATCTTAACACAAATCGGATGTACGAGTCCAAAACAGAAAGTGGGCGTGGCCTGACGCCAGGCTCCGCCCACTTTCTTTTCTCACTCCTCCGACTGAAATGTGGCTCTAATGTATCCTTTTACAGTCTTTTACTAGGTGAAGTGTTTTATTTTGGTCTTTTTTAAGGTTTTCAATGATTTTTTACATCATATGTTGAAATTTGAACTTTTGGCTATTGAGAATAGGTCGTTGGGGAAACTTCGAAAAATGTTTACTTTGTTTTTTTGCAAAATAAACTATTCATTCAACATTTTATGACGTCATTCAATTAAAAATCCCTTTTCTAACACTATTTTCGTCGGAATTTGCACTGTTTTCCGGAAACTTTCTCCGCCCTCTCTTCTATTCGGACACTCTCTCGCCTTCCTCTCTCACCTCTCCACCTTGATCAAGCTCTCTCTCTCCAACGTGCACTTTCTCCGTCTCGCACCCTCCACTCCGATCAACGCTGTCTCTCACCTGACCGTCGAGCTTTCAGCGACTCCGACACCGTCAGTAATCTCTCGCCGGCTGTGATGTTTCGGTCGCACCCGACGATCTTTTCATCGTTGCCCTCGTTGCCGCCGTGTGTCGTCGTCGGTAGCGTCACTTCGCCAGGTTGGTCAAATGGATAAGATTGCTGATTTTGGATCGATTGGTTGGGGGTTCGAGCCCGGTTGAGGTTTTTGTCAATTTTACTCGAGGAGAATCTTTTGAAAGCTTTCATTTTTGGTTAGTCTAGTAGATTCCTGATTCATGGGTGTAGGGCATCAAGGTTCAACCTCTGTCAAGATTTTTGCCATTTTCCAACTCATCTAAGGAAATTTCCGCAAGTTAGTCGAGTGGATAAGATTGCTGATTGTGGATCGATTGGTTAGGGGTTCGAGCCCGGTTGAGGTTTTTGTCAATTTTATTTTGAGAAGAAGCTTTCATTTTTGGTTAGTAGATTCCTGATCTATGGGTGTAGGGCATCAAGGTTCAACCCCGAGCAAGATTTTCCAACTCTTCTTAGGGAACTTTCCGCAAGTTAGTCGAGTGAATAAGATTGCTTTTTATGGATCTAGAGGTCTCTGGTTCAAGTCCTGTCCTGGTTTTTGCCATTTTTGCAGATTAGTTTTTTGAATTCCAGTTTCTCGCTTATTGCTCCCACCCTCCTGAGACCTTATCAAAGCTTTCGAAAAGAGTAGATATCAGTTAGTCGAGTGGCTAAGATTGCTGATTATGAATTTAAAGGTTCTTGGTCCGACCCCGGTCCCGGTTTTTGCCATTTTCCGGTTGAGATGTTATTTTCCCACCACCAAAAAAAAACTCTGAACTCTTTTTTCTAGTCTAAAATGTTCTCTGAAGAGTTATAAAGGTTGAATATTGTATTCCTATCAACTTATGTTCTTGTGGCCTACATTCGGCAGGTCGTGTAGTGCAAATATTGAGTGGGTAGACGCATAACAATCTTTTGAATAGAACCAATTTGTGGTAGACTGTCTGAGAGTATTGATTGAGAGCCTCAGGATCACAGGTTCGACTCCGGAAAAGGTTTCGGGAATTTCGGAGCTTGGGAATCGGATTTAAGAGCTTGAAGTTGATGAGATAAGGTCAGATGTTAATGAGGTGAAGGCTAAAAAAGACGGTTATGAATAAGGATACCAATTTTTCGATTCCTAAGTTTTTCAGTCTGTATTCCACAAAAATCTAGACTAAAGAGCTATAAAAAAGAAGCCATGAAGCGTAGCCAAGTGGCTAAAATCGTTATTTATCATTCTGAAGGTCAATGGTTCGGCTCCTCTCCAGTTGAAACTAATTTTTGCACTTAATCTTGAGGTCAATGGTTCGATTCCTAGCTTTTTCAGTCTGTATTCTACAAGAATCTAGAATAAAGAGCTATTAAAAAGAAGCCATGACGCGTGGCCAAGTGGCTAAACTCGTTATTTATCACTCTGAAGGTCAATGGTTCGGCCCCTCTCCAGTTGAAACTAACTTTTGCACATAATCTTGAGGTATGATTTGATTCCTAGCTTTTTCAGTCTGCGTTCCACAAAAATATAGACTAAAGAGCTATTAAAAAGAAGTCATGAAGCGTGGCCAAGTGGCTAAAAACGTTATTTATCATTCGGAAGGTCAATGGTTCGACTCCTCTCCAGTTCAATCAATTTTTGCACTTTTCAACCTTCCCAACTCCTTATAGACCTATTCAAGTGCCCAAAACCTTGAAACTACGCGTCACAAGGTCAAGAGTCCTCACACAAACTCCAAAAAGATAATCGGCTCTGAATATAAACCAAAAATTGCCCCCCATCTGCATGAGATTTAAAATGTTGCAATCTCCGACCGGTCAGATGGAAATCTGATTTTCGGGCCGCTCCCGATCTCTCGTCCCACTTTTCATCTCTTCACCTGCAACAATACCAAAACGGGAACTAAATATCCAATTTTTATGTTGATGTAGGCCGCGTCAATTTGACGAAGTATGCCAAGAAGAAAATAATTTTTGCTTTAAAGGAGATTGAACCAGGGTCCCAGATTCCATCAGGCAAGACTGTTAGCCACTATGCCACGCTAACAGTTGAGAAATTATGCTTCTATCAAAAGCATTTTATGAAGGTTCAGGATTTCTAGTGAAAATGATTACAAGAAAAATAAATTTTTCCGCCTTTTATAAGAATGAAAAACCGCTAGGTTCTTGGTAACGGTACCCGGACGTTTTTGAGCATTTCTAGTGGACACTTTAGCAGCGTCAGTACTTTTGACTGATCCCTAGAGTTGTCCAGAAACGTCCGAAGCTTGTCCGGTTTGCGTTTCTGAGCTTTTCTAGTGGTCCCTTTAGTGGCGGCATCAATGCTCTTAAGTGGCCCCTAGAACCGCTCTGAAAGGTCCGAAGCCCGTCCAGTTAACTTTTCTGAGCATTTCTAGTGGTCACTTTAGCAGCGTCAGTACTCTTAAGTGATCCCTAGACCGCTCAGAAAGGTCCGAAGCTGTTCCGGTCACCAGTAGGAAAGTATTCGATACGAGAATCTCCGCTCTTTTCAAAAATTCGATCCGAAAATCGCCTCGTTTACAGAAGTCACCCTGGCCAACGCCCTGGAACAGCAACAGCAGCTCCAGGCGCGGCTTCTGCAACAACAGCAGCACCAAGAACTGCTCTACAGCCTGTCGTTGTGCGCGGCTGCCACGACGCCGACGGCGCCGTCGCTGCTCTCTCTCCAGCCGACGACTTCCGCCACCGCCATCCTCTTCGACACCGTCCGACTCGCCCAGAAGCAACAGAGCCTGAGAACCCCGACGCCGACCTTGCCGACTGCGATCCTGCCGTCGACGATTCTGATGCCGGCCGTCACGACGTCGTCCGATTTGAAGCCGTCGACTCCGAGTACTTCTCGAGGATCTCCTGGCACTATTATCAAGGTATACGAGTTCTTTAGGATGGGGTCATGACACTTCTGCATCTGTATTCGGTGGTCTCATGCCGATATAATAATACAATTTCGATTCGTTCGGCTTTCCCATAAGACAAAACGATTGTTGGGAGACAGAGGCAACATGTACAATATCGTGGGGTTGTTGGTTCGAGTCCTGTCTGGGGTTTTTGGATTTTAGCTGTTTTTTAATGCAAAGCCTTAAAAAGGATCCCTATCCAAATTTTCCTATGAAAATAGGGTTGTTGGATCGAGTCCTGTCCGGGTTTTTGGATTTTTGCCGTTTTTCTAATGCAAAGTGTTTTCTGCAAAGTCTTTAAAATGATCCCTATTGAAGTTTTCCTATGTGAATAGGGTTGCTGAATCGAGTCCTGTCGAGGGTTTCTGCATTTTTGCCGTTTTCCTAATGCAAATAGTTTCCATGGATACCTACAAAACTGTCCCTTTTCAAGTTTTTCTTCAGAGAGAGGGTTGTTGGTTCGAGTCCTGTCGAGGGTTTTTGGGTTTTTGCCGTTATTTTGATGCAAATTGCTTCCATGGATACCTACAAAACGATCACGATTCAAATTTCCCTATGTGAATAGGGTTGCTGAATCGAGTCCTGTCGAGGGTTTCTGCATTTTTGCCGTTTTCCTAATGCAAATAGTTTCCATGGATACCTACAAAACTGTCCCTTTTCAAGTTTTTCTTCAGAGAGAGGGTTGTTGGTTCGAGTCCTGTCGAGGGTTTTTGGGTTTTTGCCGTTATTTTGATGCAAATTGCTTCCATGGATACCTACAAAACGATCACGATTCAAATTTCCCTTTGAGAATAGGGTTGTTGGTTCGAGTCCTGTCGAGGGTTTTTGGGTTTTTGCCGTTATTTTGATGCAAATTGCTTCCATGGATACCTACAAAACGATCACGATTCAAATTTCCCTTTGAGAATAGGGTTGTTGGTTCGAGTCCTGTCGAGGGTTTTTGGGTTTTTGCCGTTATTTTGATGCAAATTGCTTCCATGGATACCTACAAAACGATCACGATTCAAATTTCCCTTTGAGAATAGGGTTGTTGGTTCGAGTCCTGTCGAGGGTTTTTGGGTTTTTGCCGTTATTTTGATGCAAATTGCTTCCATGGATACCTACAAAACGATCGCGATTCAAATTTCCCTTTGAGAATAGGGTTGTTGGTTCAAATCCTGTGCAGGGCTTCTGGATTTTTGCCGTTTTTCTTGATCCTCTTTCGCTTTCTGAGAAGGCACCCATACTCTTAGAACTTTAAAGTTCTTGGGGCTGCTGAAAAGGTCGCTGGCTCGACTCATGGCCAGAGTTTTTGTCCTTATTATAATCTCTGGCCAATTTTAAAAAATTGAGTTACAATAATTTGCTTTCTGCGCTCAGTTTTGCGTTGCTAAGGAATTTTTTCGGTTTCTGTTCAGCTTTTTTTTTTTTTGGGTTTCTGCCATTTTTGGAGTGGTTCCAGAGAGATTTTCGCTTCTCTGAGATGGAATTTTGCTCGATTTTCGACAGTGATCTTTGTTTTTGACCCGATAGAAATTCTGCAACGGTTGCGAACGTGATTTCGATGTTTTTTTGGTCTTTTCATCTTATTTTTTCATAAAAAGAGGCGGAAATTCACTTCCAGCACACCTTCCGCAGGTGAAACCCTACCTGCAAAGTTTTAATTGCCCTGTTTGTTAAACACCCAGTCCAACGAGGCCACAGGGGAAACGAGAAAGAACTGGACGAAAATTTCTGTTTGCTGATGTTTGAACCGACTATCACCAGCCGACCAAATAGGCGTTGAGATTCCAATCGATTGCAACGTTTTTTTCTCCTTTTTCTCCTACACTTTCTTTTCGGGTCGATCGCCCTTTGGATAGCGTACAAGACATTCTCTGTCCATTCTTCTCGGTTGAATGTATCCCAAAGTTCCAATATTGCTCATGTTACAAGCTTTTTGCTATTCTCTAACTCTCCGCTATTTTTTCGGGTAAAAATATCTGAAATTTCTCATTTTACAGGCTTTTTGCTATTTTGCGCTCCAATCTCGGTCGAGTGTAACAAAAAATCGACTCATTATTACTCATGTTACAGGCCTAATTTTCAACTCTGCCTTTTTCTCGAAAAAAAAATCTGCTATTCGCAAATCTCGCCATTTATTCTCGGTCTATTTCATGAAAAATTGAATATTGCTCATGTTACAGGCTCATTGCTAATTTTTTTAAAGTTAATGATAAAATTCATAATCCAAAAACTGCAGAAAAATTGAGTTTTTTTGAAAAATTTCGCCGTTTTGATTTCTCACTTTTGCTCATTTTCAATGTCGAATGAAATTGAAAAAGAAATTTAAAAAAATTTGGAAAAAATTTTTTTGTCTCACGTTTTTCCCATAGTATTGCTCATGTTAAAGCCTCGTTGCTCATCTTACACCGCTTAGTTCTCTTTCTCGACATTCTAATGACTTCTCATTATCGTATTAGCCATGTCGCCATGGCGCAGCCGGTTATTAGAATGTCTATCGATCGGGAGGTTGCAAGTTCAAATCCCCCGCTGAACTCAGAAATGTTTTTGCTCTTTTATTACTCGGACTCCCATGGCAACAGGTTCCGCCTTGCGTCCAAAGAACGTCTAAAAGCTTCAGTTTCCTCATAGACTCCAGTTTTGAACTCTAGGCCAATTTTTGTAGTTTCAAACTTTTTTTGTGTAGAGGTTTACGGTGGATTCCGGACAGCAGAATTTAAAAAATGAATTTTTTAGGTTTTTTCAACTGAGGTGCAGCCAAATAAGGTTGTTACGTAGCAGGCAAGAAATCACAAAATTGCTTATCAATTTTCCCGTGATCTCCCTTTGATCAACCTTATCAATTTATGAAAAACCATAATTTTTCGCTTTTGGTTCTAAAAATGAAGATTCTGTATTTTTCTCCCATCCTTCCCCAGTTGATGCGCAGCCAATTGATGTTCTCTGGTTTTGGGCGACTGAATATTTGCACTACACACAAACCACACACGTGTGCTGCCGGTTGCTCTCGGAGCCGTCGAAGGCTAGAAGCGAGAGAGCACGTGCCGCAGAGACGCAGACGGCTCGACTGAATGAGGCGAGAGAGTCCCTGGTATCATAGAGAGCACCAGACAAAAGACGAATCAAAAAAAGAGAAACGGGCAGCTGCAACTTTCAACTCGTTTTCGCCCTTTTTCGCGTTTTTCCGGATACATTCCTCAAATCTTCTCCAACTACGTATCCTGCTCAGTTCAGTCGATGCGCAGTGAAGTTCTCTACCCTTCAGGATTTTTCTATCGCTTTTTTTGTGTTTTAAGGGTGCAAAGTACGAAAAAGTGCAAGAATTTTTAGTTCCTGACGTAATTAAATTTGGCTTCGCGTCAACGGAAAAGTGACGTCATTAATTGAAGCGTTTCTGGATCTATTTTTAGCCAATTTTGATACTTTTACGAAGAATCATAAAAGTGTTTTTGAAGGTTCTCGAGCTCATTCTGAAGTTTTTTTTCGCCATTTTTTGATTTTAGACTCGAAAAATGACGTCACTAATATTAGCTGCGCATCGGCTATTCAATTACGCCATCTATTAAGATTTTTTTCTGAGATTTTCATTTTTTTAATTGTTTTTTTCCATCATCTAGTCCTTTTTTTGGAGAATCAATCGGGTGACGTCACGATTAGACTGATGACGTCACTTTTTCTGTTTCTAATTGAAAATTTTTCCTCCAAATTCCAATATTTGGATGAGTTTTTGAACCCTTATTCTCTGATTTCTTTTCTTTTGGCCTCTTCTTTTTCTCTAAATCTATTCATCTTTTCATTATTCTAATTAACTGCGCATCGACTCGGTTGCTTACGTCACACCACGGCTATCCTTCTCTTTGTGAAAGAGCCTCAGAAGGGGAATTATTCACACGTTTCTTTTTGCCTTCCCACCAGTCTCCAATTTCCGCCTTTTTCCCGGCTTTTTGAGAAAGTACACTTGCACTGAAAGGGTGTCTAGACGTTGTGGAAACTTTTGAACTCGGATTTTTGTTTGAAGCTCGGATGTCTTGAAAGTGTGGTCGGTTTTGAGCTCAAAATTTTATGAAAAATGATTTTTTTTTAACATTTTGGTCACTTTTTCTGTTCAAATTTGCTTTCCGATAGTTTAAAAAAGAGGATTTTATATTTTTCTGACCATTTTTTGGTCCAAAATAGTTCCGCCAGATTTTTGAATGAATCTAAAAAAAGAATTATCTTCATAATTTTCAACTCCTTGAATTTTTTCAGCTCGTTTTTTGGCTCAGTATAAATCGATGATTTTTAATTCCACCAAAAAATCAAAAATTCAGGAAAGAAATCATTCTCTTAACACTACTTTTCCACTAAAAAGTGAGAAATCAGGCCAATTTTTCAATTTTTTTTCGATTTTCAAATTCAAAGGAGTATTTCTAGAGCTTAAAAATCTAAAAATTCCTTTTTATCTAGAAAAATTTTTGCTTTTTTTCATTTTTTTAGTTCTCATTCCAACTTCCCGAGTTTGTTAGTCGAAAAAAAATCCGAAAATTACGAAATTTATTTGTTCAGTCGTGCCTCTTTTTGCTCGAAAAGGCCTACTTTTTGAACTCCCGCTTCTTTCCCCAAACATTCCCCCATCCGTTCAAACCACCAGATCATACTCTCCAACACCAACACGTGTATATACATGCATGTCTCTATTTGCCTTTTTGTTTGACGAATTTTCCGTTTTTCCTGCCCCCCTCTTTCTACCCTTCAGAAACTGCCAAACAGACTACCAATCGATTGATGTCTCTTTACGCACTTTTATGAGCCGTTCTCTTCGTTTTTTTGTTCTTTTATAGAATTTTATCATGATTTATCAACCTCAAAAAGCTTGAAAAAAACGCTCATTTTTTTCGACTCTTATCACCATTTTCAAGCTTAAAAAAATGTTTAAAGCTGAATTTTTTTAAATTTTTTTCCTGGTTCTAAAGTTCTACGATTATAAAACTTGATTTTTCCGACTTTTTGGGCCATAAAATTTTTCCGAATTTGTTTTGGATCCTTAAAAAAACAAATTTAAAAGCTTGATATGTTGATTTGTTAGCTCCAGATACGATTTTTGAAGCAAAAATTTTTGAATTTTATAGCTTTGTCAAAAAAATATTTGAAGCTGGTTTTTTTCAAATTTGCGTCGCATTTTCATGTGTGAAAAACTTTTTCAAAAACTTGGTTTTTCTGATCATTTTTCCGTTTTTTTTTATCAATTTTCTTCAGAAATTTGAAGCTTTTGAGACTAAAAATTTTTTTTCCAAGAAAAAGTTACCTTTTGAACTTCTAATGACATTTTGTGAACTACAGAACCTTTTGGAAGCTCACTTTTTGGTTCCTAAAATTTTCCAAATCGAATTCTTCAAAAGTGGATGGATATTCTCATGCGAAATATTCAACTTCGTGGGAATTTCGCTGAAAAAAATCCTAAATAAATTATTTTGCAACATTTTGTTGCTGTAATGACCACTGATCAATTGCCTTTCACATCATTTTTTCAAAATTTTAAGCCTTTTTCTGTATTTCTTCAAGTAAAAAATGAACTATCCTTTCCTCCTTGCTCCATTTTGGAAAAAAATTGCTAATTTTAAACACTTGTAAACAAAGATTCGGCTATTTTCCGGTTGCAGAGAATCACCAATGACCGAAAATCTCGTTTATTTTTCGCAAATATCTTTTTTTGGACCAGAAATGTTCATTTTATAGCATCTCTGCTGAAAAACAAGGGTTTTTTCAGTTTGCAATGTTTTCCTTGCCGAATTTTACATTGGACAATTTTTCTTTTCTTTTTGACCCCTGAAAGTTCAAAAACTAAGCCTTTTTTATGTACGACAATAGAAAGACCATTGTCTGCCTACGTAACGAGTTGCAAAAGGGACAATTCTTCTCTCCCGAAAAAGTCACACATCAACCAAAAAGTGAACTTTGACGTCGCACCAATGCAAAAAACACGTTACCGAGAATAAAAACAAGATATTCTCTGATCAAAAAAACCTTTTTTCCCGCCTATGAATAATAATCCGATAAGAAATTCCCCAGACACCTTTTTTCTGGAGCAAGAAGTCAAAAGCTTAACATTCAATTTGCGAAGAAAACATGTCGGAAGGTATCAAAAAGCGCCAGACTTGAACGGATGAACTTTCAATAGAAATGTATAACATAAAAAAACGTGTTCTAATAGCCCATTGTGTTCAAAAAATCAGATATTTCTGTTTGAAAAAGAACGAGGAATTAAAAAAACTCGGTTACTGTAGCTAACCTTTCTTCAGTCCGCAAACACGGCAACTGTACTCTCCGCGCAAAATTAATTCCTTGTTTCGAATTCTATTCAATCGAAATTCATCCGACTTCTTTTTCATTTTTTTCTATTATTTTTTTATAATATTTAACAAACTTTTTTTAATTATTCAATATTGGAAGTTTGTTGATTAGAACTAATCAATGTTAAGGAAAATTTTTAATTCAACTTTTTTTTGAAAATTATGAGACTTTTTCGCCTTTTTTATATTCAATAATTTATTCAAAAGTTGTTTTGCTTCATTATTTGCAGAATTTTCATTAATAATTATGTTCGAAACAGAAACTTTTAATTTTCTAATGTTTTTTGATATTTGTCATCATCAATTTGCGTCCTAAACTTCAAATCATCATCAATCTTTTTTTCTTTGTTTTTCAGGAGTATAATCTGTTTAAAAGTCTTGCTGATAAATTCAAAGGAGCAATGATCAAGTTCAAAAAAATCTTGAAGAGCGGTTTCAGTGTAACTTCGCTTTGAAAGACTCTAGCGAAGATTTTTGAACAGACTATACTTTTGAAGTACATTTCACACGGCGAAAATTGGCATCGTTGCGAAAATGTAGGCTTCTTTCCCGTGCAAATCCGAATTTCCACCCATTCTGCTCGATTATAATTGGTGGTTATGGAGCTTTACGTTGCTAAGCGTGGTAAACATGCGCCGTCGTTTCCGATTTTCAATTCGCAGCTCGAGATTACAATAAGAGATCAAAGAATTTCAGGGGCTGAGCCGTTTGAATATTGGAAAAGGGGGATAAATGGACTTCTAGTTCGTTTTGGTCGTATAATTTGAGCTAATGTGCTGGAAATCTCTTTTTGAATCAGTTTTATAGGTTTATTGAGTTCAATAATGAATCATTTTGTTAATTTTTCGTGAATATTGTCTTGAAAGATTAAAAAATTAGTGTTAAAAAAGCGAATGTTCATTTTTTTGGTTTTTGGATTTCTGAAAATCTGCTACTGAATTTCTGACTTTAAAAAAATGCTACATAGATCTGATTCCTCTTGTTCCTGTATTTAGTACCTATTGTCTACCTTTTAAAACGAAAATTCTCCTCGAGTAGGCCAAAAAATGGACTTTTAGGCCGTTTCGGGTCGAATACTTTGAGCAAATAAAGCAGAACATGTCCTTTTCTATCGATTCACTCTTTGCGTACTGATATTTGTGGATTTTAAACTTTTTCTACATCTTATCAAAAAACTTGAGTTTTCCACATTTTGATAGAAATTCTCTTCAAAATAGGGAAAACTTTGGACTTTTAGAGATCATTCCGGTCAAATTTCTCTAGCAAACAATTATTTTTTTTTCTCCAATTTTCTTCGTCCACCCCCGCTTCTGATTATCACGGTCTCTCGCGTTGAATCTTCCAATAAACTCCCAAAAGTTGCAAATCAGATGTCCGACTGGGAGTCATCGGGCTCACCGCCGCAGAACTTCCGAAATGTGTTCAAAAGGCCGACGCCGAAAAAAGAAGCCGTTGAGACAACTTCCGAGGAGAACTGCCCGCGAAAAGTAATCAGAAAAAGTTGAATTTATAAGAAAGTCGGAATTTTCGGGGTTACGGTAGCCGAGGGATATGCAGAGTTTAGAGGGCGTGTAGTACATGGAATTATTGATTGGAAGGGAGATGGGCGGTTTTGAAATTTTTCTTTTTTTTCTTCGCTTTTATTTCGATATTTTGGAAGTTTTGATATGTTAAGTAGTTTATAAATGTTAAAGATTAAATTGATAATAATGCGGGGTTTTTTTTTCCAAAATTAAATTTTTTTTTTCCATTTTTTGTGATTATAATTGTACCTTTTTCAGGGCGAAAGATGTGTCGGGTGTGGTAGCGATTCGGCTATCCGAGTACATTATGGAGCTAGCTCCTGTCATGGCTGCAAGGCCTTTTTTAGGTTATTTTTGATTTATATCATTTTAAATGAGTATATTTGCTTTCATTGTTTTTTTTTTTCGTGCTTTCTTGGTTATATAGTGGAGCAAGTGTCTTCTTTGACTCAAATCACCCTGAAAAAAATCTCATTTTTTGAGAGTTTTTTTAAAACTTTTTGATGAGCCTTTAAAACATTCTAGCGAGAATTTTTTTCGAACAAATTCAAAATGATTTGGGGAATATTTGAAGGAGAGCTTCAATTATTTCAAAGTGTACTTCATGAAGTTTCTTGCGTGATTATTTTTTTTGAATTTTTTTGGGAAAAATGGTTCTTTTTTTAAATTTTAATATGATAGAAAGAGTAGAGTTTTAATTAGTTTAATTATCACACAATTTTGTGAATATCGTCTATTTTTTTCTAATTTTTCAAAAAAAGCAAGAGTTTTGGCTAAGAATTTTTAATTGCTTCAATTTTTATCTTCTTTTTCTCCGAAATATTATTTTTTTCCCTTTACTTTTTCAAGAGTTCCACCTGTTTTAGAGTCCGACAGGATCAAGTCCCAAAAATCAGAAGAAAAAATTCTGGGGGTTTTAGACTCTAAAGTGCTTCATTTTTCGAGTTTGAGAAGAAAAACACGGATATGGTTACGATTTTTAAAATTTTTCTGAATTTCAGGCGTTTTTTCCCTAAAGATTGATTTTTAAAAGTTTCACCTGTCCAAGAGTCCGACAGGACCAAGTCCAAAAAATCAGTAGAAAAAAATTCCGCCGGTTTTAGACTCGAAAAGTGTTTCATTGGACTTTGTGGTCATTCTTTCCTACATTCACACACTGTTTTGCTCACACAAATACACACAAGTGCGGCTCCGCGAGCTTTCATTCTTCCCCCCTCAATGAATGGGTTGACAGTCAACCTAAAGTTCGCGCAAACTTCAGGAATTTTTTTCTCAAAAAAATCATGGGGATCATTCCTTGGAAAGTTCAGTGAGATCGAAACTCGGTTGGACTTTTTGAGGGATTTTTCGGGGACCTAAAAATGAGATAAGAAGTTTAGGCCTATATGATTCTGATATGCTTTTTCATATGAGTTATGAGTTTTGGGAAAGAAAAAATGACAGAATTTTTCCAAATCTACAGTAAAATTTAAGCCGGTTTCATTAATATTGACAAAAAAAATTCCTGATTTAAATTAAAGCCTGTGAAATCCAAGGTTTGACAGTTCATGATTTCATGCTTTGTAAGATAATCTCAAAAAAACTCAAAATTGAAAATGAAAAAGGTTTTTGGTCCTAGTTATCTAAAAAAATGTTCAACTATTGGAATTTTTTTGGGGGCTTTAGGCTCCCTTCTCTGAAAAGTTCCTGGAAAGCTAGGATTTTTTTCCTCAGCTTAAAAATTAAAAGCTTTAAGTTCATTATTGAAACTCGAACCGTAATTTCTTAGAAGTCTATATAATTATATATTCATTTATCCGTCTTTCTAGAAGTTTATAGGTTGATCTAATAGGTTTTTGATGTCTTCGGCGATCAAAGTTTCCGAGAGTCGCACCGTTTTTTTCTAAAAAGAGATGAGAATCCGACGAAACCGAAGTGTGTTGCTATTTGTTCTTTTTGGTGGTAGTTTGAACCCGATGGTTTGCGATGTCTTTTGGAGAGCAAGAAACTTGAATTTTGTCTTTTTTAAAGTTTAAAGAAAGTTAGATTTTAGTTATTTTCTGTAAAATAATTTAAAGAGTTTGTTCAACTTCTCTAAAAATTTGAGGAAGCTGGAAATCAGGCTTAAAACTGTCCCAATAAGTAAAAATAGGGAGCATAAAAAAAAGAGAGTTTATAACAAATCTGACAGCACAGAAGCTGAAAAAAGAGCTACTCTTCAGCTTTAGCAAAAAAGATAAGCAGCCGAAAGATGGGCTAAATGTGCGCTCCACGGACAAACCTATCAGCTTTTCAAATCCCAGCACGAAAAGACTTATACAATACGACAAGCTCTAATACAAAGATAATCTGTTCTTTTGATCTCAAACCTCGAGAAAATGTCCGAAAAGTCGACTATTAACAGAGAAGCCACTCGAAAAGGGCAAAGAACCCTGAGTTTGCTCTTTTTGTCGAGCCTAGACACGCGTAAACACCCAGGTCGCAAATTTCGCCTGAATCTGGTGCCAGACCAACTCGTACGACGTTTGCATAATTGTTTGGAGCGCACAAAGCAAAGTCTGTCCGTATTTGTGGGCTCCAGTGGGAGATCACAGAAACAGACTACACTTGACTAATTTCTAGCTCAGTTGATCATTGTTTTTTGGGAAAAGTCTGCTTGAAAGCACCTTGATTTTATAAAAAGCACGATTCGTTAGCACTTGGATATGAAGTTTTCTCAAAAAATGATCTGGGGGGGGTTCTAGATGAGTAGTACAACTGGCTGTCTATAACTTTGCTCAAAAACTTTTTGATGGGCTAGAAATCAAACTCAACACGAATCTGTCTGCGCGAATAGTCCGGAAGAGTTTTTAGCGAAATTTGACAGATTTCTTCCAAAAAATCTATATGAATTAGTCGAAACAACTTTTTGTGCTATTGAAAAAGGTCGAAATTAATTTCAATTGAATGGATAAAAATTCCATAGTTTGATTCATTTGATTATACACGCAAAATCTCAATTGAAATGCTCAAATTAAACCTCTAGTTCACAAGTTCATTCAGTCTTCCGAGAAAATCCTCTGCTGATTCTCGGAATAAATGAAAAATTAATCCTCATTTCACCAAATAAGGTTCGAACATTGTCCCTTTTTGGATAGTAACGTTAGAAGTTTGAGCTCAACCTAGCCTCATTTCAATCTAAATGAGTGTTTTTGATTTCCTTCGAATCACCAATTTCCTTTTCAAAGTCGAGATTTTCAGACGGTCCGTCTTCGAAGGACGCGTCTACATGTGCAGTGCCGACAACAATTGCGACATTACCAATGGTAAAACAACAAAATTTGCTACTCCTTCATGAAACGCCGCATTGAAGAATCCCGAAACCGTTGCCGCGCCTGCCGGCTCCAAAACTGCCTGGACGGCGGTATGAATCCCAAGCACGTCCGCGAGGAACGCAGCAAAATCGAGCGGATGCCCGCGGGACAGTCCTCGTCGCAGACGCCGACGACGTCGGCCGCCGTCTCGGCCGTCCCCCTTACGCCTCCTTCCTCCTCCCAGCCGATGGCTTCCAATTCCGACTGCGCCGTTTCCGAACAAGAAGCCGTCGAGAAGAAAATTCGTGAGTGCCGAGGAATGTCCGCAAGATTGTTATCTTCAAAGAAACCAGCCAGTTCTCCTGAATCCAGTTCGCCTGTACCCAATTTGAGGGGTAAAAAAAGATTCAGCATGACCTAGGGAAGCTAGAGGGATCACTTGAGGGATTAGAACTCAGTTTTCTTTCAGTGATAGGAATGCTTTTATTTCTCTACAGAGGAAGCCTGAAATTTAAGATTTTATCAGATTTCTACTCGATTTGCAGCTCCCAAAACAAATTTTTTGAAATTTTCAATAGCTTCTTTTCCACGATTTTTCAATTTTTACGTTGCAATGAAAAAATACCAAAAAAAAACCAGATTTAACAAATTTTTTCTATGAAGCGCAATTGTCGCAACTCCCAAAAAAGCCTGAATAATTCGGAAATTTTTTGTCTCCTTTTGGCGATTTTTAACGCCAAACCAACAATGAAAATGTGCAAAAAAAGAAATTCAACAAATATTTGACGATTTTTGCAGCTCCCAAAAATTTGCAGCCCTCAAAAAAAAGGTGCAGCTCCCAAAAAATTTTGCAGCCCTCAAAAAAAGGAGCTTTCAAAAAATTTGCAGCCTTCAAAAAACGAATTGGAGCCCTCAAAAAAATTTGCAGCCTTCAAAAAAGGAGCTTTCAAAAATTTGCAGCTTTCAAAAAAATTTGCCGCCTTCAAAAAAAGAATTGGAGCTTCCAGAAAATTTTGCGGCCCTCAAAAAAATGAAGCTTTCAGAAAAAAATTTTTTTAATTTTTTTCTAAAAAGTAATTTTTTTCGTATTTCGAATAGAGTCTGTTATAAAAAGATTCAAAAAGTATTTCTCCAACTTTTTCAGCCGAAGAACACCAACTAACCCTGTTCGTCGTGGCTTTGGAGAAACAAACGGAGCAACTGACGGATGAAGACGTCCAGGACAATGATATAATGGGCGCCTGGAGTCGCGATATTTCCCTATCTTTCGGCCTGCATCACCCTCAGATGGTCATCAAGAGGATGCCGGTAGAGAATCCAGAAGGAAAAATAATAAGAAAAAGGACTTTTAAAGATCAACTACGAATGTGAACGAATTATGGAGGCCACCGACCTCTACCTGAGTTGGTACCGATCCTTCGTTCTACATGCCGATTGGGCCATGGGAATCCCCGATTTCAGAATCTTGCCACTGGCTGATCAGGTAAATCAAATGCGCACCAATGAACTGTTTGACAGCTTTTTTCTGAGCAAGAATGGGTTATTTCGAGTGGAAGCGATTTCATGAAGTGAAAGTGTGCTCTATGGACAATTAACGAATTTGGAGAAATTTATTGCGTAATCTTGAGTGCGATTCAAAAAAGGAACGAGAAAGCTATTTTATGAAGTGAAAGTGTGCTCTATGGACAATTAACAAAATTGGAGTAGTTTATTGCGTAATCTTGAAAACGATTCAAAAAAAAAAGGAACGAGAAAGCTATTTTGTGAAGGGAAAGTGCGCTCTATCGATAATCAACGAATTTGGAGGAATTTATTGTTTTCAAGCTTTTTTTTCGTATCTTAAGGGATCTCTGAGGAAGATCTAACTACGAGATTTTCGCTTTACTCAGAAAGTCTAGAGTGATCACTATAGGGGCCACCGAGAACCCTAGTCCTTGTAGGCTCCCCTCTAGGGACTGCTTTTCTTTCCCCTACGAGATCTAAGGACGAGATTTTTGCTTTTCTTGAGAACTCCAGAGTGGTCCCTATAGGTTGGTCCTTAAAGGGGTTTTTAGTGGCCCTCTATAGGAGACATTCTAGTCGCTCATCGTCATGAAATCTACGAGAAGAATATTTCCATTCTAAAATTTGATGAATTGGCGTAATTTTAATGAAACATATCCACAGATGATGAGTTTAGCCCTATAGGGGCACTAATCAGTCCCCTAACCCCTATAGGGACCACTCCGGAGTTCCATTTCATTTTCCATAAAATTGCGACTTACCTCTCAAAATCCGATCCACGAAAATCCATCTTCTTTTTTCTTCCAGACGACGTTGTTCAAGCAGAACTTCATGGCGTTCGGCTGGATCACCTACGCCTACAAGTGCTACGAGTTGAAAAATCACCGAAAAGGAATCACTCTTGGCAATGGCGCGTACATTCCCTACAACGAGGAGCAGCAGAAAAAGCTGCCCGCCAGGTGGATATTCTGATTAAATTGCAAAGAGAAAATTAATCCACAATTTTTGGATAATCCGAAAAAACCAAATGTAGGTTTTCCAGATGGTCGAGCACGTACGGAATCGTCTGCAAGAAGCTGATCGATCTGATCGTGCGGGTGATGATCGAGATCGAGCTCACCGAGGAGGAGTACTGCCTCATCAAGACCATCTCCCTGTTTCAGCAAGGTGAATCGAGGGGGCTAGCAAGAAAAAAAACGAGTTTGCTGGGGAATCTGGAACTGTAGAAGCTCCAGAATGTTCGAAATTTTGGTGCTGATTTTTTCTTAAGCCTGTAGGAGCTTTTTCTGAACTTAGAGCTCAAAAATGATAGTTCTTTGGAGATTCTTAAACGAGTTAGAAAAGAAATTTGAGGATTTCAGAAAAAAGAGTTTTACGAAACATTAGATTGACCTGGAACTGTAGAAACTCCAGCAAATTCGAATTTTTATTTTTTTACCAAATAGAGAGTCTGGAGCCTGTAGGAGGTTCTGGTTTTCTGAACTTATAGTCCAAAAATGGCAGTTCTTCAGAGATTCTTCTGACTATTCAAAAAGAAAAAATTGAAGCTTTTAGAAAAGTTTGGTATCAAGAAAATCAGAGCTGTTCTCAGGGGCGGCCCCGGTCGACCGAGGGCGCCCCGATTTGCGGCGTGTTCGAGGGCGGCCGCGGTCGGCCTTTGATAAGGGTCAACTCGGCCGACCCGTAGATACAAATTTTTTTGACTCTCGGTTTTTTTGCGAATTATAAGAAAGCGAAAGAAGCGCAAGTTTTACTGAAATGAAAGTGAAACAAAAAAAAAATTTTTTTTCGAGCACATAAAGAAGAAAAACCGATGAAATGAAATATTAATCCAAAAATTCAATAGTTTTCTAAGTGGCCAGAACAATATACAGAACTAGAGAAAAACGAAATAATAAATAAGAAATAATTTGAAATTTTCACATCATCAGGAATTTCATTTTTCGCAAAAAAATTCATTCAAACCACTATTTGAAATATTAATTTTTTTATTTACAACGAGAAAAAAACGAAAAAGATTCGAAAAAAGTGAAATCAAAAAAAGCCCGATTTCTATCAAAAAACAATAAAATTAAACTCTTCATGGATCATAAATAACTTAAACATTCATTTTTCAATATGAAAAAAACCGAAATAAAAAAACAAAAAAATACGGAAAAATCCTCGCGCTCGCTTCGGGGGCCTGAATGAAAACCGCTTCGCGGGCCAGGGGCGCGTCGCGGTCAGGGTCGGGGCGGCCTCGGCCAGGGTCGCCCCGACTTGAGAACAGCTCTGAATGGTACGTTTAAGAGATTTTGAAGCATTTCGAACTTTTGAAAAATACTTGAAAGGTTGAAAATATTCAGGAGTGAATCTCTTGAAAAAGGTCTAGAAGAAGAAGGAGCACTTGGAAAAAAAGTCGAAAATTCTCAGAAACGATAAGCTTATTTCTGAAGATTTATGACGCATTTTATTTCCAGAAGAGGTGAGAAAGAAATATCTGAGTTTTCGAGGTCTTCAGAAGCTTTGAAAAATCTTGAAGGTATTCGAGAGGTTATCGAAAGTTCTAGAAAGTGCTAAATTTACAGAAGAATCCCAGAAAATTTTCTCCACTGTAAATGAGTGAAATGTAAAGAATTCTATGGAAAAATATCTACCTTAAGAGCCTTTTACATGAGCTCTCAGAACTAGGCTAGACTTGACAGTTTCGAAAATCAAGAAAGAGAATTTTCTGAAATATTCCAAACGTCTGAAACTTGAATTGAAAGCTTCAGACTGCATCCTCTCGGAAGAACGGCATGAACATTTGCGCGCGGATGCGAGAACGACTTCTGGAAGCCCTGAGCACCCACATCGAACGGCGGTTCCCCTCCTTGAACTGCTCGCAAAGGACGACCCGGGCCCTCAAGATCAGCCTCATGTTGCCCAGCTTCTCTGTGAGCTTTTCAGCCTTTTGTTGATTGACAAAAAACGGCCTTCGCAGACTAATAAAGAAACATATTGATATCGGCACTTTCCAGTACATCGGCCAAGTCGAGTCAACGTTGATCCAGCAGCTGACGGCGGCCGACCTGCACCAGCTCAGCGGCGTCCCGATGGAAATCTGCGCCGCCCAACAAACTCTATGACTCATTCCCCAACTGATTTGATTATTTTATCATTTGCCAAGCTTTAACATCATTGTTGAGTGAGATTCGTTCGTATTACATGTCCTGGCGTGAAAAAATAGCCGCGAGGAGAGTTTTGTGTGAAATTTTAGATTACTTTCGCCATGGAGCGCATTTTATAAGTAAAAATAGCCTTGAAAGTAATTTCTGCTTGATTTTGAATATTTGAGCGAGTTTACTCGATGAAACGCGTTTTTTGTCCATGGAGCGCATTTTGGAACATTATATAGGAAAAAATAGCGGCGGCACTGGTTTTAGCTCAAATTTTGGCCATGCGAAAGCGAAATTCAAATCAAAAAAAAAACCTTTCTCCTCGAAAAAGGTTAATTTAACCATGGGGCGCAATTTCTCCTCGAAAAAAGCCAAAAAAGGCTTATATTCACAAAATTCCACACAAAACTGAACTTGGCGGCCATTTTCAACCATTTTATCCATGGGGCAGACTTTCTCGTAAATTAATTGCCTCGTATCTTGTCTGAGTAGATTTTCCTAGCCTAAATTATAACTTTTCTTTGCTTTGTATACACATCACATATGCTTTTTTGTTCATCTTCTAAGGCCAACAATTGATTTTTTTTTTCTATCAATTTCCCACCACCTCACGTCTTTAACTCTCCAAAATCTGTGATCAAGAATTGATTCTTCTTTTTTTATAGGTGAAAATCGAAACTGTACAGGGGCTGCAATCCAACTTTGAATATCCCATTTCAATTGTTTTTCTTTTCTCTTTGTTTCGGGTTCTTCTTTTTGTTATTTTTATCCTTGATTGATGATGTTAGTATGCACTGATTTTGGTTCATTTTGTCTTTTTCTAGAGAGATTCTTGTGTTATGGTACATTTCGACTTTATTTCGTGATATAATGAATACGTTTCCGTTGGAAGGATAGGCCTTGACCCGTGAAATTCGTTCAACCTTCGGCGCTTCTTGCGAGTATTTCGAAGCTCTGAAAAAATGAGCCCAATAAATGAGATACTTGGACCGCACGCGCGTCTGAAAAATTTAAAAAGTCCGTAAAGCAATGGTAAACTCTACAGGTAACTCCGAAGGTCGTGGATACTTTTTAAGCGTCTGACGTCATAGGAACCGCGAACGCCTCCAAAGGAACTCAAGATGAAAACGACTACTCAACTTCAAGTACTCAAGCTCTACAGGGGCAAACAGAGGTACTTAGTTTTTTGAAAAATGGTCTAAGCCGCGACGCGACCGCGTTCGCGTCTGACAGAATTCGCAGCGCTTTCGAATATTTCCCCTGATGACAAAGCTACATGTGAAAAATTTCGGGAAAAAAAATTTTAAGCCTATTATGACGTCACAAAGCCGCGACGCGTCTGGCAATATTAAAAAATAGAAATTCAGAATTTTTTTAGTAAAATTTTTTCTTAAGCTCTCTGTTCCATATTTTTCCAAAAAGGCCAAAAATTTTCCTCTTCTTGGGAGCTGCAAATTCATTTTCTCAACATTTCCCATGAATGACGTCACTAAAAGGGTAGCTGCAAATCTGTTTTCTCTACCGTTCCAATCAATGACGTCACCAAAAAAAGCCGCGACGCGACCGCCTACGAGTCTGGCAATACTCACCGGCTCGTTGACCGATGATTGTTCCCTTTTTTCGATTCTGACCGGACGGACCGTCGTGTACATCATTAGGACTGCCGTCAAAATCAAGATACAGAACGTCAAACAGAGACCATCTGATTGATTGATGAATAATTAATAATTGATTTGATCAGAACCCACCAAAAACTCTCTTGCTGATCACGTAGTGCTGGAAATCGTGTCTTGTACGATCACGTTCGTTGAGATGGTTCGTGAGATCTGAAAATGGCTCTCGATTGGGAGTGACGTCATCAAGGAACGCGCGCTGAGAAAAACTTGCAGCTCCCAAGACTTGATGACGTCATCAAGAAGACGGAGAGAATTTTAAAAAATGACGTCATCAAAAGCCGCGACGGACGCGACCGCAGCGCTTCAGAAATTGCTGCAAACAAATTAGCAGCTCCCAAGACTCCATGACGTCATCAAGAATCAGACAAGGAAAGCGTTTTTGTAAAAATGACGTCATTCAAAGCCGCGACGTGACCGCAACGCTTGAGAAATTTCAGAAAACATATTCGCAGCTTTCGAGACTTGATGAAGTCACCAAGAAGCAGATAGGGAAAGCATTTTTGTAAAAATGACGTCATCAAAAGCGCGACTCGATCGCAGCGCTTCAAATATTTCAGAAAACCTATTCGCAGCTCCCAAGACTTTGTGACGTCATCAAAAGTCAGACAGGGAAAGCATTTGTAGGAATGACGTCATCAAAAGCCGCGACGAGACCGCAGTGCTTCTGATTTCACCTGTTTCACTTGGTGGCATCATTTCAGGTCTTGGAATTTTGGAAAATGACGTCATAATTTAAAAAGACATTTGAGTGACGTCAGATAAAACTGGAAGTCTTTAGAAGAGAATTATTTTTGATGACGTCACCTCGATTCAACAAGCGACGCATTGAAGTTTGGATTTAATTTTTAAAAAAATGTTATCAAGCCGCGACGCGACCGCAACGCTTCAAAAATTTCAAAGCTCACAGTTTTCTTTATGCGCCCGATGCCTGACCATTGCTCCGTAGAAACCTTCTTTCAAATATAGCTGAAAAATAGAATTTGTTTTTGAGATTCTCTCTGAAAAATCTCAAAAATAGGTATTTTTCTCAATAGAGCGCACTTGATGTTCAAAAAAAAATAAACGAACCTCCGAATTGCAATTGAAGCCGGAGCAGCAGCATTTCCTCTTTCTCTTTTCCCCGACTTGGTCCCAACAATGATACGATTTTTTCTTGTTTTTCATGACTTCTGGAACATTTGAATTTGGAAAAATCTGACTCGTCTGCGCTCTCTTTTCTCTCGCTAGATCTTCTGTAATTTTAAGGAGCTCCTAAAGTCACTTAAGTGACTGCTTAATGGTCAATTTCTCCGGAAAGATACCTTAGGTCAACATTAGCAGAGTCTGAGGAGTTAAAACGAGAGAGCCGCCAGGCAAAGAGAGCGCAGACAAGTCAGACAGTTCCTAACTTTTCAAAACTCACTAGCGCAGTCTTCATCGCAGCCAAGTCGGATGTGGAGGAAATTCTCGTCGCCGCCTTCGCTGGAGTATGCGCTACAGTAACTTTCTGTCGGATCCTGAAATCATCCTTGGTACTGTCTGACATGTCTGGGCTCTCTCGTTCTCTCTCCTGACGAGGGATACGAACAGAAAAGAGTGCAGACATTTCAGACTTTTTTCAAGACATGAAGAATGAAAATTAGGCTTCCGATTTGTGTAAGAAAAAATGAATGGATCTCTCAACGTTGGTCGCACTTGGAATGGCTCAAAGCGGTTACATCGAAATTTTGCGCCCGACCGAGAAACGACTTCCGCTTGGTAGCATTAAGAAGCATTAGAGCGAGCCGTCGATGATTTTATGCAGGTCAGTTTTGATATGGAAAATCAAGAAAAACCGCAACGCGACCGCGACGCATATCAAAATGGAAAATAAATGAAAAGTTAAATGGCTCAGTTGGTAGAGCAATTGCTTCTTTTTCAGAGGATCTTATGTTCAATTCCGCTTTTTCGAGCTTTAACCTCTTTCCTTTGACCGCGACGCATGTTGAGCCATTCCCAGTGCGACCTTTTTTTTGCTTATTTACGAAATTTCGTTGGTACGAAATCTTAACCGTCTTATGGAATCGCTCAAAAAATACGCATTTTATAGTAATTTTAGTTTTGAGCCATTCCAAGTGCGACCACAGATTCTTTAGCCTATTGTGAAAATCAAATCTTTAAATAAAGCCATTGATAAGAATACACTGATAAATTTCGAATTTCCAATTTATCATGTCCACCGCAACGCGACCGCGACGCATGTCGAACCATTCTTAGTTTCATCGAAAAGAGTTAGAACGGATAGAGTCAAGAAATTTGAATCTTTCCTGAGTTCCTTCATACAAACTTTGTGCTTGTGAGGTGTTAGATGACTTTAAGCCATTCCAAATGCGACCAGAGAGCTTTTATTTTTCTTTGAAAAGTATAAAGTCTTTTCGAGGACCTACGACATTTTTTAGAATCTTTGTAGGAAATATAAAAAATCTCACCATATTCCAGCACTTCTCATATTCAAAATAGGTCCAATAATGACTTTGAGAACTATCGAAAACGCCCCCGAAGCAGGTGTTGTTGGAGTTAATGTACCAGTCTGCTGAAAAAAAATCTTCAATCTTTCTTTCTTTGATCATAAAATTCACCGACCATGATGGAACTGTTCCAAAGCAAATGGGACTGTCCAAAAATCGTGTGGTAGCAAAGTGAAACTCAGGTCGGATTCGGCGTTGCTGATGTTTCCGACTGAAAAAAATATCGTAGAAAATATTCAAAATCTACTGGTCGCATTTGGAATGGCTCGACGCGATGCGGTTCAACTTAGAGCATCTAGAAGCGCGAAAGTTGCTTCAGAGTCGGGCGCACTTTTAGAACAACCGCATCGCGACCGCAACGCGTGAAGTCATTCCAAATGCGACCAGTTAATTTGATGTTTTTCCGAGGTTTTCGAATGGAAAAAAGTCCGAAGAAAGTCTTGTGGTCGCATTTGGAATGGCTCGACGCGATGCGGTTCAGTTTGGAGGCACTTTTAAAAAAACCGCATCGCGACCGCAACGCGTGAAGCCATTCCAAATGCGACCAGTGAAATCCATGTTTTCCGAGGTTTTTGAATGGAAAAAAAGTCCTAAGAAACGCTTGAAGTCTGCTGGTCGCATTTGGAATGACTCGACGCGATGCGGTTCAACTTAGAGCATCTAGAAGCGCGAAAGTCGCTTTAGAGTCGGGCGCACTTTTAGAACAACCGCAACGCGTTGAGCCATTCCAAAGTGCGACCAATTAAATTGATGTTTTTCCGAGGTTTTCATGGAAAAAAGTCCTAAGAAAGTCTACTGGTCGCATTTGCAATGGCTCGACGCGATGCAGTTCAATTTGGAGGCATTTTTAAAACAACCGCAACGCGTTGAGCCATTCCAAATGCGACCAGTTAAATTGATGTTTTTCCGAGGTTTTCGAATGGAAAAAAGTCCTAAGAAAGTCTAGTGGTCGCATTTGGAATGGCTCGACGCGATGCGGTTCAATTTGGAGGCACTTTTAAAACAACCGCATCGCGACCGCAACGCGTTGAGCCATTCCAAGTGCGACCAGTTAAATTGATGTTTTTCCGAGGTTTTCGAATGGAAAAAAGTCCTAAGAAAGTCTACTGGTCGCATTTGGAATGGCTCGACGCGATGCGGTTCAACTTAGAGCATCTAGAAGCGCGAAAGTCGCTTTAGAGTCGGGCGCACTTTTAGAACAACCGCAACGCGTTGAGTCATTTCGAATGCGACCAGTGAAATCCATGTTTTCCTAGGTTTTTGAATGAAAAAAGTCCTAAGAAAGTCTACTGGTCGCATTTGGAATGGCTCGACACGATGCAGTTTAATTTGGAGGCACTTTTAAAACAACCGCAACGCGTGAAGCCATTCCAAATGCGACCAGTGAAATTCATGTTTTTCCGAGGTTTTCGGGTGAAAAAAGATTGTTAGAAATATATAAAGTCTACTGGTCGCATTTGGAATGGCTCGACACGATGAAGTTCAATTTGGAGGCACTTTTAAAACAACTGCAACGCGTCTAGCCATTCCAAATGCGACCAGTAACCTTCAAGCTGTTATTTTTTTCAATCGGAAACAGAGATTATCACTCTTTTGTAGGTTTCCGACCGAAAATCCCGAATAAGGTACATAAAATCGACTACTGGTCGCATTTGGAATGGCTTGAACCGTTGCGGTCGCAACGAGGCTCAATTTAGAGCATCTAGTAGCGCGAAAGTCGCTTTGCAGTCGAGAAAGCTTTTGAAACAACCGCAACGCGCTGAACCATTCCAAATGCGACCAGTTAACTTAAAAAGGACTTTTATGTTTTTGGGAAAGAGTCTTTCAAGATTTCCGGCCGAAAAAGACCGCATTGAGAATGGTTCAGCACGATGCGGACGCGATGCGGCACAAATCGAGCCATTCCAAATGCGGCACGCTTCTTTTTCTGAACTCACTGCTTGGCTTCAAGAATCCCGGTAGTAAATCAAAAATCATCTGAAAAATTCAGTAGTCATTTTTTTTGAATTTTCTCCTAAAATCTACATATTTATTGCAATTGGGCGTCCGACAGCAGCATTCGAAATCATTGGCTTCCGCGTCGAAATGGCATAAATCTCCGGAAGATGGCTGGAAATGAGCTTTTTAGAGATTTGATACGGTTGTTATGCTCAAGAAAACCGAAATTTTTGATGATTATCCAATTTTACCCTTTTTCCGCTCAAAATCATCAATTTTTTGTATATTATAGGGGTTTTTTCATGATTTTTTGAGGTTTTTAAAAAAATTAGGAAGGTTTCCCAAGTTCATAGAATCTCTCACTTTTTAATCTTGATATCAGGGGATTTTTCAAAAAAAGTCGAAAAAAATGATTTATTTTTCAAAAAAATAACTGTTCTAACTTTTTTTAAAAACTCCCTTTTTTTAGATTTATCTGTTCCTCTATTGTCTCTTTCAAGGTTCTTGAGGATTTTTTTGAATTTTTTTAAAAATTTTGACAAGTTCTTCTATTTGTTTTAGAGTACTATCAACATTAAATAAATTGAAAAAAATCGGAAAAAATATCGAAAAAAATCGAAGTTATCTCAAAAAACAGTTTTTTTACAATTTTTTTATTGATTTTTCAAATATCATTTTCCGTTAGAAAATCCCAAAAACCCACATCAATAGTACAAATATCGCAAGCGTCGTTGAAAAGTGTCCCATGTGAGTAACGAAAACGACAGGCCGGCCGGAATCCCTCTTCTTCCAGGCCTTCCTGTGAAAAATTGAGATTTTGATTGCTTGAAATGTTCCAAATCTACTAGTTACTGTGAAAATCTCGTTTTTAAGCCTTCTTGTGAATGAATTTTAAGTTTAAGAAGAGTTTTCACAGATTCACACACCAAAAATCAATGGTTTACTGAAGAAATCTCACTTATTGGGCTTTCCCGGGAAGGAAATTGAAAAATCTAACAAATTTTCAACCCTCGGAGCATTCAAAGTGTACCGGGTACTGTGTAAAACTCTATTTTTTCAGCCCCTTCTTTAAAAAACATCTTGCTATTTTTCCAATCGTTTTGAGGCCGTTTTCAAGATTTTCTCATCCATGTATTAAGGATCATTGAAATTTGCGTAAAAAATGGTCCTGGCACGATTTGCGAGACAGTGTGTAAAAAGCAGAGAGTTTCCCTCACCATGTCAAATGAGCAAATACTCTGCTTGGTGTCTTTGTAGGACTCGCGTCGGTACGGATCCCCGTGCCAACACAGAGAACTATTCAGTCCCGTATATTCTTGCGATAAACAACCAACTGAAAATAGACTTAGTTGGGAATGGATCGATGCGTTGCGGTTGCGAAGCGTCTGCGCCCGACTTTTCGCGACTTTCGCGTATCAGCATCGAGAAGCGATTAGGGCTGTGGAGTTCAAGTCTTATTGAAAAGGAACTATTCAGTCCCGTATATTCTTGCGATAAACAACCAACTGAAAATAGACTTAGTTGGGAATGGATCAATGCGTTGCGGTTGCGAAGCGTCTGCGCCCGACTTTTCGCGACTTTCGCGTATCAGCATCGAGAAGCGATTAGGGCTGTGGAGTTCAAGTCTTATTGAAAAGGAACTATTCAATCCCGTATATTCTTGCGATAAACCACCAACTGAAAATAGACTTAGTTGGGAATGGATCGATGCGTTGCGGTCGCGGAGCGGCTGCGCCCGACTTTTCGCGACTTTCGCGTATCAGCATCGAGAAGCGATTAGGGCTGTGGAGTTCAAGTCTTATTGAAAAGGAACTATTCAGTCTCGTATATTTTTGCGATAAACAACCAACTGAAAATAGACTTAGTTGGGAATGGATCGATGCGTTGCGGTCGCGAAGCGGCTGCGCCCGACTTTTTGCGACTTTCGCATAGAAGCATCGAGAAGTCTTATTGAGAGGATTATAGTCAATTCAACTTGTTTCTAAGAACTGTGGAAGGAAGGCTAGACATTTAGCTACTGCGCCCGACTATTTACGACTTCCGCTTTGCTGTATGCTTCTGTGGGCTCTCTATGATCGGGCGCAGCGTAGAAAGCTTCAAACTTCGCATTTCTCTCATTAAAAACTCCTTTTTGACCATGCAGGACATTGTAAATCGACCATATTCTCACTAGGCTCTTATTTGGGCGTCTTGGTCGCATTTGGAATGGCTCGAACTGTTAAGCCATTCCAAATGCGACCACATTGAACAACATACCGTATACAATTTTGACGATTATAATTAGATTGAGTACGGTCGACGATGTGACGACCATTTTTTGAAATGGCTGGCTTTTTTCACGTTTTTATCTTCAAAACTCCAAAATAATGAAAAATTCATTTCTACAATGGCGGCTGGCAATGACAAGTCGGGTAGAGCGGCTCTACTTCCCTCGATTGTGGTGAAAATTTAGAGATAATGTTCAATTTCACGAAGTATTGGAGAAAAATAAGGATAGTTTGGTGAAAATTAGAACAGAAGTAATATCAGCAAAAAGAAGTAAGTTCCGAGTGGGATTGAACCCCCGGCCCTTTGAGCCGCATTCAAGAGCGCTACCAACTATGCCAGTGAACTGCTCGGTTCTGTGATTTTTTGGGAATTTTTTGATTAGGTTTAGATCTTATAGGTCAATTTTCACATTTTAGCTCAGTTGGTAGAGCTCTTGTTCATGGATCCGAGGGTCAAGGGTTCGAATCCTCTAGACGTTTTTTTTCATTTTTGCCAATTTGGTACTGAGAAGGGGTGCTTGGTTTCTCTTTTTTTGTAGGAAGTTCCAATGGCTCAAACAAAAGTCAAGTTAAGAACTATCATGATACATTTTCCACAGCTTAGCTCAGTCGGTAGAGCTCTTGTTCATGGATCAGAGGGTCAAGGGTTCGAATCCTCTAGGCGTTTTTTTTCAGTTTTGCCAAAAAAAATTGGAAAATGGGAATCTCGAGGATCCTTCTTTTCTGTAAAAAGTTTCATGACCTCAAACAATATTCAAGTTAAAACTATCAAGATATATTTCCCAAAACTTAGCTCAGTCGGTAGATGTCTTACTAATGGATCAAAGGGTCAAAGGTTCGAATCCTTCAGTCGTTTTTTTTGAAGAAAATATTTTTGATGTCAAAAAGAAGTTATGAAGCTTGAAAAAAAAAAATACTATCTACTGGCGTTTAGCTCAGTCGGTAGATCTCTAGTCTATCACCAGAAAGATCAAAAGTTCGACCCCTCCCCTGGAAATTTTGCCATTTTTCCAGGCGACCCCACTGGAAAATGGCCCAGAAATACACTATCAAACGCTGGAGCACGTCTGGGACCGTATCGGTGGAGCCTCGTAGTTCAAAAATCGTCATTGAAAAAGACAATTTGAAGGCTGCCGCTACCCGAATTTCCGTCGAACCATCCTTCCGCTCACAATTATTTCCTTCACAAATTTCTTCATGTCTACCTGGATCGCTCTGATTGGCTCAGCTAAAACGGTAGGACAATTCAAAAAATAATAAAACTTAAAAAATTAAGGTCCGAGAATAGGAAAAATTTTTCCGAGTTCGTAACTTTTTGAATTTTTTTCCAAGGCCATCCAAAGAACGGGAAGAATCGAGGAGTTTGATGTAATCTCATTAAAACAGAGATGTAAGATAGAGAGAAAAAAAAAACTGTGAACCTGAAAAATTTCATGTCCCACATACTGAATACCACGCTAAAAGCTCAGTTTATGGACACAGCTGAAAAAAAAACTACCGTAACCCCCTTTATTCCTATATAGTTCAGAAATAGACTAATAGACAAGAAAAAACTACCGTAACCATTTTTTTTTTTGCATTTTCGCGTCGAAATGGTTCAGAAGCAGACTAAACGTCTGGAAAAAGCTACAGTAACCATTTTTTTTTTTGCATTTTCGCGTCGAAATGGTTCAGAAGCAGATCAAATGACTGGAAAAACTACCGTAACCTCTTTTTTTTTTGCCTTTTCGTTTCGATATTCTCAAAAAAACTCCAAAAGACCGAAAAAACAGCTTCAAAAAACAAAAAAAAATTAATGACATATTGCAGTGAAATGTCCTATAAAAGCTCAATATTCCTGCAAAATTATGCATTTTTTTTTTTACGAATTTCAACTTGGAGATCATTTTCAGGTAAGGGAACAACCGCAAAAACACATGTTGAGCTACGCGACGTGCCAGAACAACATTTCAAACGACAGTGAAAAACAAATGGTCCGTTTTTTCAGCTGGGAAATGTCTGGAAGAAATAGCCGCGGAGTTTGCGCTCCATGGCTAATTCTTGGAAACTTCTGTTTTTCGCAACTTGAAATTACTGTTTTTCTCTGCGCCCTCTCATGTTGACGTGCTCTTTTCAAGGTTCTCTGACCTAGCCGGTGAGGGAACAGAGAGACGCAGACACTAGGAAAGTGTCAAGTCGCGGTGAATGAACTATACTATATAACGAGCAGAATTGTATGGCCTGCACCCGACTAGAAACGACTTGAGAGCTTTTTCTAGCTTCTAAATAGTAGTATCTGAAAGTTGAGCCTTGAAAAGTTTTCTAAAAATGTTGAATTTTTTGCCGAATTCGTCTTTTTCGAGTTTTCAATACTAATCTTGCCTTGATTCTAGTCATTTTCAAACGATTTACAGTGGAAAAAAATCTTCTGAGGAATTTCTGAGGGGTCCCTATAGGGGTTTGTTGTTTTAGGGGCCCCTACAGTTGTTTAAGGTAGGACCGCTGAGCCCCTAAAGCTTTAGGGGTCCCTAGAAGGTTCCCTCAAAGGGCCCCTATGGAAGCCCCTATAAGGACCCCTTAAAAGTTTCTCAGTTGGATGAATAATAATATTTGGAAAAACGGTTAGCGAAATTCAAAGGGGTAAAATGAACCTCAAAGGAACGAACGCAACTATTTTATAAGCGTTTTATGATTGAACTATGATTTTTTTTTTCCAGTTTCTCGAATCTACATCGTTTATGCACGAGGCGGTTCCACATTGGGAACTTTCCCTGGCTCTAATGTTCTGTTTTCTTTCGTCTTGTGCTTTGTGAGTGATTGTCGATCAGTTGCGCCCGACTTTTTCCGACTTGCACACGGGGCTAGGCTTCAGACTCTTCAAAATTTTCCCACCTCTCTTTTTTCCGCCAAGTCACAGCTAGTCGACTAATAAATCGATAAATTAGATCAAAATTCAATTCAGACAGAGCAAAAGAACTCTCCTGATGACAATTTTGCTCGGCAACGTTTTGGCCATGTTATCCATTCGCCATATTGGGAAAGGCACGTATGTGGCGCACCTTTTTGTTCAAATGGCTACTGTGGTGGGTCTCGCAACGATTTTGGGAGATACGGTAGCATTTCTCCAGACAGTCCATCTCATTCTGGTCACTCATGCCGTTGAAAGCCTTCCGCAACGGCTGAGACCCGCTGGATATTGCTTCGTCAAGATTGGTCGGTTTTGGTCGCATTTGGAATGGCTTGGAGTGGGCTTTTCTAAGGTTAATAGCCATGCAAGTTTCACTCTGAAGTGCAACTCTCAAAACAGTCCTTTCCGCGCAAGATTGTCACGATTTCAGAGCTACAGAACCCTTTCTAGAAGCTTCCCTTCGATGCGCGCGACCAGGCTCTGTCCATGCGCCTTTAAATCCGGGAAGCTTCCCTTCGATACGCGCGACCTGGTTCTGCTCATGCGCCTTTAAAATAGCCCAGAAAGTTCCTTTTTATAGACATTTTCTAGTAAAGACAGATCTCAGCGCCCTTGAAATTCGGTCTGCCCATGTGTGGTTATAGTTGATCCAAGCCTAGCTTGAGACGGTAAGGGGGCGTGGCCTGTCTGCGCTCTCCACGAGCCAGGCACTGTTTCATGCACTATCGTGTCAGGACCCTTTTTTCCTGATTCACGGCTAGCTTGGGACGATAAGGGGGCGTGGCCTGTCTGAGCTCTCCACAAGCCAGGCAATATCTCGTGTATTATCGTGTCAGGACCTTTTTTCGATGGCTCAAATTAGACCTGAATCAGCTATAGATTAAAGGCGCATGCAGAGAGGAACGCCGTGCGTATCGAAGGGAAGCTTGCCGGAAGTGGCCCTATATTGCGTACTTTGCAAAATCATTGTGAACGAATAAAACGACATTTTTGAAATCGCTGAAAGATCTCAAGAAGTTGAATCCTCCTCAATAGAAATTGAATTTTTCAGGGGAATACATCGCAAAAGTCTCGGCACACCTTCTTATGTACTACGGGATGCGCTCGGGATGGGACATGAGTTTTGGTTATGAACTGACCGCCTGGTTCCTCGCCGTCAGTGTCCTGATTTCTTTTTTTGTGAGTTTCAGATTCAGGGGGGCGGGGGGGGTCATTAAATCACTTGGAAAAAGGCTTGGAAACTTGAAAAATGATCGGGTTTTTTTCGTCACGGCTGTTTGAAAAAAATTGACAATCATTTATTTAAAAACAAATATTATTATATTAATCAAGGGCCAAAAAGGCCTCTCTTAGAACGATTCATGAAGAAAAAGAAAAATTGAACTTGAAGTGGAAGGGAATTTTTAAAGAGTTAGAAGAAAATGACCTTCGAAATCTGGGAATTCCGCTGAAAAATGGATTCTTTAAGGTCCTTAAGGTCTCGAAAAAAGAGATTTTTTTCATTTCATGAATCCAGCCGTACCAATCCGTCAACTCTATCATTTTGACCAAGAATGGTTCTGAAAAATCGAATTTTCCAGCTGCGTAAAATCTTCCTCGGTTTACCTCCTAGCAATGACAAAAACCGACGAACTCCAAGCCCACTTGACCGATATTTTTGCAGAAGGTATAATTAATCAATCAATTAGCTACCTGGTTCCTCAAATTTCAGCGGAAGTCGGCCAAGTGTCCGTGGAAGCCCTGGTGGACAACGTTGCATTTGACGAGTTTTTCCCGATTTTTTTGAGGTTATTACAATTTCAAAGGTTTGAACAAAACGAAAGTGTGCTCGACGTGTACTGGAACGCGGTTTGCTGCGTCCCGCTGATCAAGGAAGTTTTCGCTGTCGGCATTTTTGCGTGAGTTGAGAGGGGATATGACGACTAAAGCGGCGCCCTGACATCGCTGGCATCGGTGGTTCAGTGGTAGAATGCTCGCCTGCCACGCGGGCGGCCCGGGTTCGATTCCCGGCCGATGCAATTCTTTTTTGCCTTTTTTTGTAGCGCTGATTTCTCGCAAAGAGAGTCGGTTCGAAGTCAATTTGTACATCTTTTTGACTTTAAGCTCAAAAAATTAATGAAATCAAGCATTTTTTCAAAGTTTTACGGGCTAGGCTTTGTATTGGCAAGCCAAGGGGGTTTTCAAAGCTTTTTTGTTTTTTATCTGTTCAAAGGCATTTTAATGGTTATACGAAGAGAAAAGATGGGGAATTTACGGTATCAAAAGCCCGAAATTCCAGTTTTCAAGTGAAATCTAGCTTTTAAAATTTTTTTTTCTCAGAAATTTATTAGTCTTTAATTTATCCTAATGAGGTTTTTTCTTTTGGAAGTTTTCAATAATTGGAATATTTTAATGATTTTCCAGAGGCTGTACGCAGCTGATGAACGAGTACGCCGACAATGCCATACAAGTTCAATTATCACTGAATCCGTTCGACATGGGCCTTTCGAGTTCATTTTGTGGCTGGTTCGCCTGCGTCTTGGTCCTGGCTTGTGGATGGTCAGTTTTTTTGAGGATGAATGGACTTTTTTTGATCTATTTTCATTACACGAAATTCAAAAAGTTGAGACGAAAAAAATTGGATTTAAAACGTCGCATTTTTGCAGCTCCCAAAAGATTGAGCAGACTAAAAAATCAAGCTTTTTTCATCTTTATTCTCATTATCAAAAGTCTTCAAAATTATTTTCTTTTTCTGCGCCCAAGTTTCAGCGAATATATTCATTATCTTTTTTTTTGTCAGAAAATGAGCAAAATAAGGAATTTTGGATGATTAGCAGCCCCCAAATGGGTGTTACGAAGTAATATCAACTAATTTTCCGATTTTTCCACATTTCAGCGGAACTTTCCGGACCGCCCTTTTCAGACTCTTCCCTCACATTTTTTGAGTTTTTCCATGATAATCCTGCAGCAGGATTCGTATAAGCTGTAAAAAAAAAAGTCGGAAAAACATCATTGGAACCTTTTTGACTGGAAATTCTCTACAGCTATGAAAAGTCGGAAAGATCGCCATCAAAAAAATTCACTGATTTTTGATTTATCCCACCTCGAAATGATCTCGAGAGACTATTTCCTCGCAGGTACTGTCCTCATCGACGTCTCCTACCTGTCCTCGTCGCAACGCCTCTGATGACTTTCTTCGTAGGAACGACAATGCTGATCACGCATTTTAAGAACGAAGACGAGCTTTTGCTCTGCTCTGACACCATCGTGAAAACGGGTCAATTTTATTTTTTTGGTTCAAGTTTTAGTCTGTAGAGGCTTTCAATGCAGGTGGGCGATCCAGTGATTCACTCGTGTTTTTTTTGGCGGGACGAAAACGGGCGAAACTTTTTTTTATTCCGCGGATGCCACGAAATTCAACGAAATTTTTTGCCCCACCGATCCCCTGATTGGCTTCACCTGCATGAAGTTCTCCCCCTTTTAGCCCGTTTTCGTGCCCTGCGACGTTGAAAAAAGTCACTAGCGAGACATTGGTGCACCCGCCTTGCAAAATCGAGCCTTTTTTGTCCAGCGGATCACCCGCCGTAGCAGGAGTGTTCGGGTGAAGCCGCTCAAGAAGTAAAAAGGATGATGAGAGCAGCGAAAATTTCGTTTCGGGTGAAAAACGGGCGGAACATTGTGCAAAAAACCCCCCGAACGCCCGCAGAGTGAAGAAAATGACGTCACAGCTCTGAATTTTCCTGAGAAAGCTGAATTTTGTTCAGCAGCTCTGAAATTTCCTAAGGAAGCTGAATTTTGTTTAGCGAGTAGGGAAAAATTTGTTTCGGTTGAGAAACGGGCGGAACATTGTGCAAAAAACCGCCCGAACGCCCGCAGAGTAAAGAAAATGACGTCACAGCTCTGAATTTTTCCGAGAAAGTCAAATTTTGTTCAGCGAGTAGCGAAAATTTCTTTTCGGGTGAAAAACGGGCGAAAACTTGTTGAAAAAGTCGCCCGAACGCCCGCAGCATATCGAGTAGGAAAAATGACGTCACAGCTCTGAAACTTCCTGAGAAAGCTGAATTTTGTTCAGCAGCTCTGAATTTTCCTAAGAAAGCTGAATTTTGTTCAGCAAGTTGGGAAAATTTCGTTTCGGGTGAGAAACGGGCGGAACATTGTGCAAAAAACCGCCCGAACGCCCGCAGAGTAAAGAAAATGACGTCACAGCTCTGAATTTTTCCGAGAAAGCTAAATTTTGTACCCATAACTCGGAAATTCTTAATAATTAAAATTCTTGCGATACATCATTCGGATCGTATTTCATGCTGCTTCCAAGTTGTTAGTTGATCATTTCAGGCCTTCTAAAAAGCATGCTGCTGTTCTCGGTTTTCTGCCTGGTCGTCCTTGCCGAAGCGAGCCGAGTGATTGTTCTAACCTATCTTGTTGGTTTCTACTAACCTTTCTTCTGATCCATATTTGTGAAAATAATCATGTTTTCCAGTGCGAATACGCGCCGGCTCTAGTTCGGCTCCCAGTGGCCGGATTTGTCGTAATTATTTCATCTGTGGTGAATGGCCGTGCTAGATACGTGGGTTTTATCGATTATTCCAGATGATTGAAAAAAACTCCTCCTAGAAACTTGAAAAATGACAGAATAAAAAATTTAGGTATGAATCGAAAATTGTGTAACCTGTTAATCTGTATAGTCCATTCCGTGCCATTTTGTCCCACTTTTCTTTCTCCGAGCTCTACATCGATATGCGCCTTTAATATCACGGAATTGATTAATCTAAATTAAAGGCGCATGCACGGAAAAAGGCCGCACGTATAACCTGTTAACGGCTGACTTGATTCATCGAAAAAGTGGTCCTGACACGATAAAAAAAAGAGATAGTGTCTGGTAGAGATAGAGCGCAGACAACTTTTACATCCGAGCGTCTTAAGTTAGCCGAACCAAAGAAAATAGTTCAGTAGCTCTAAGGAAAAAAAATATGAAGAAAAGGTGGCGCGGGATGGGCTATTCACGGCGCGACACCAAGAAAAGTAATATCGTGACACGATGACGCGGAATGGGCTATATCGCTAGAAAGATGGTAATGAGAGGAATCGATTGATACGATCAGTTTTTCTCTGTAGCTTTAAAACTAACAAAGTTAGAAGCTCGAAAATGCGATTTTTGAACATCTTTTCATCTAAATTTCAAGCTTTTCCTTTGAAAATGATATAAAAAGTGCGGAATAATGGTTGCACTAACGATTAAGTTACACTAGTGAAAAATTAAAAAAAGAATTTTTTTTATTGGATTTTTTTCATTTGATTGCTCCTATAGGGACCACTAACTGAAAACCCCTAAAGGGACCGCTTTTGCAAGCTTTAGGGTCCCCTGTTAAGGCTGCTGAAGCGCTCCCTAGAGGGGACCCTCCAAGGGCCCCTAGGGTCGCCCCTATAGAGACCACCAACATGACCCCTATAGGGGAACCTAACTGAAAACCTCCTGTAGGGACCGCTTTTGCAAGCTCTAGGGGTCACTAAAGTGCTCACTAGAGGGGACCTTCCAGGGGCCTTTAAAGTTGACCTTTTAGGGACCACTCTGGAGCTCCTAAGTTCCCCAAAACTTTTTTTTCACTTTTTAGGAATATAACGTCCGAAACCTCGACCTCGTCCGGTGCCTCATCGCCTGCGCCATCATGTCGATCTTGGTTTTCGTTTTCAACCCGACCAAATCCTCGATGCACACGTTTTTCGCGGATTTAAAGGTGAATTTTTTGGAAAGCCCGCATTCGGAATGGTTTGACGCGTTGCGGTTGGGAGGCGTTTCAAAAAAAAACATCAAAATTTTCAAGAAATAATCCAGAAACATGTAAAATGAACTGTTCTACTCTTGTACATACGATTATATTGATTATTTCGATGTCTCACACTCTGAATCCCTTTGAGGGGCCCCTAAATTTTGTACCCCTTCAGGGGGCCCTATTTTGCCCTCTATAGGGGTCCCTAAAACAACACACCCCTATAGGGATCACCTTAATTTCATCCTCATTAGGAACACTTTTTTGGCCCCTAAGGGCTCTTTACCCCCCTTACCCCTATAGGTGACACTCTAAAATTCCCAAGTGCGGCTCAAAGTCAAGCGTCGAAGTTTTATAGGAGGCCCAATTTTGACCCCTTTAGAGGCCCCTAAAACAACAAACCCCTATAGGGGCCCCTCAGAAATTCCTCAGTTATTCGAACTTTGAGGAAATTCTGATTTATTCATCGACTTTTTGCAGGAACACTCCTGGACGGCGGTCCGTCAAAGCTTGAGGAAAAAACGAATGCCGCCAGCCCCCCAGTTTCCAAACGAAAAAACACCGAGCAATGAGAAGGAGAACGTCAAAAAATGATTACATTCGGATAAAATGACAAATTTTCATCTAGTGGAACCTTTTCCTGAAAAAAAGAAGTCCTTGCTTCATAAGAAAAGTCGGAAGGACCCTTTAGGGGTCCCTTGGGCGTCCATTATGGGTTCAAAAAGGTTCCCTTTTTACTGCCTTTTTCCGCCCTTTCATCGGTCTTTATACACCCTTTTCAGAAAGACAATTTTTTTCATTGAGAGCTATCGACTGTGTGTGAACCTAAATGTGCTACAGTAGTACAATCGGAAATAAGCAATGGCCGAAACTTTCAGCACCCTTTTTGAGGCTTTAGCCAACCAAGAAAGGCTCAAAAAAGGCCGCAAAACGGAACCCTTTTAGCGGCCTTTTTGCACCCGTTTTCCGACAAGTGACTTTTGATTTTCAATTTGCCGTTTTTAACATGGAAAATCGTAAGATCTTCTCGAATAATTATTCATTTTCAAAACTTTGAACAAATATTCATGTGACTCTCTCGCAGTTGAATGTATCTATTGCGTCACGCGGAATGTCCTGAAAATTTATTTGATGAAATATTGAATGGACAGTCCATTAAGCCCCAGCTTAACACCAGTAGAACTACAGAACCCTTCCGAGAAGCTTATTTTCAAAAACCCGATTATTTAGCCCAAAAACTTCCGTTTTATTAAAGACGCATACACAGAGACAGGCTGCGCGCATCGAAGGGAATAAAAATCGTGAAAAACTGGTGCCGGAATGGGCTATAACGAAAACCTCAAGGGTGTTTTGAACGTCCACAATGTGTGCCGGTCGTAACTCCATCGCCATGGGGCGCAAATGATGATAAGCAAAGTAGAAGACGGAAATCATCAATGATAAAGCGACCAACGAAACTCCTTCTAGGGGAAAAAAAGTTATAGTTCATTCCGTTTTGATTTTCCGAGAGAAAATATCGAAAAAAGTCACCAGATAAGTGAAATTGTAACGTCGAGATTGTACGAAACCGCTTCACACGGTTGTAATCGTCGTTGAACTCTGAAGAAAATATGAAATTTTCAATCTTTTCCTGAAAATCTAACCATTCTCCTTTCTCTTCCGGAAACGGTCAACGTAAACGTATAAATGACCGTATAACTGGAAAAAATGCTTTAATTTAAAAAAAATGATGATAAAGTCTCACTTTGCTGTTACAATTGAATCCTTGGCAACAGACGAAAAACGCCTTGCTTCTCAAATGTTTTCGCGGAGGTCCCCTAACTGAAATTTTCTCAATCAATTGGGACAAAATCTCCTTTTTTTTCTCATCAAACGCGCCCCACCGAACTAAGTTTAAATCGACTCGGACCTTGGTAACGCGAACGGGACGCGAATCGGACGTTTCTGGGCGATTCAAGGGATCACTTAAAAGCGTTAAGGCTACTAAAGTGGTCACTAGAAATGCACCGACACGTCAGTTTCGCGTCCCGTTCGCGTTACCAAGGTCCGAGCAGGTAGGAACGCCAGAGTGGTACCTATAGGGGCAACTTTGGGGGCCCTGGACGGTTCCTTTTTGAAGATTTACACCCATATATAGCTGAACCACAACTGGCTTGTGCCATCGAAAAATGGGTCCTGACACCATCAAAAAGGAGACAGTGCCTTGTTGGTGGAGGGCGCAGACAGGCCACGCACTCCAAGCTAGCCGTGAATAGGCTACAGGAGTTCCAGTGGCCCCTAAAGGGGAACATGCTAGGAGTCCGTAAAGGGGTTTCCAGTGAGCGGCCCCTCTAGGGAAGAATGCTAGGGAGCCATGGAGGAGTTTCTTGAGAAGAAAAATCACAAAAAAAAGTTTTCATAAAGAAATATAAAAGAAGTCCTATTGAAACCGTATGAATAAATAAAAATGCTTACAACTTTCGCCCTTCTTTGCCCCAACGCACTGGGACGTTTCGATACACCCCATCCGGATATTCAGATAGTTTAGAGATTTTTTCACAGAATGGCTCATGTTCCTCGCCTCGAGCCGAATAAAACACGAATCCTGAAAAATAAACTCTCTTCGCAAAAAATTCAACCTTTCACAAACTTTTCCCTGGCCGCAAATTTCAAACTCGGATCTTTCCCACTGTGGACTTTTACTGCTGTTGAAGTAGGCGTTGTAGCAAGTGTTGTTGGGAAATATCGCTGGAAAAATAACGAATACACGTTATAAAAATATAATTTCCACAATTTCCAATCAAATTAATCAAAAACCTTCTTTAGCTTGTGTCAGTGCCGGCGGGTACATTTTATCGATCGATTTTGGCGACTTTTTCTTGATTTCTTCGAGTTTTTCAACGCTTGTCACATCACCAATTTTTAAGCTCACTGCAAAAATATTATTCGAAAAGTTCCTTCGGCTTGAAGAGCTACGAGAATGGCTCAAAGCTTTTTTGGGGCAGTATATTTTTAGTCTGCTCAACTTTTTGGGAGCTGCAATTTGGACAGATCAACTTTTGGGAGCTGCATTCTTATGTTCTTAATTTTTTGGGAGCTGCAATTTGGACAGATCAACTTTTGGGAGCTGCATTCTCATGTCCTTAATTTTTTGGGAACTGCATTTTGGATTGATCAACTTTTTGGGGGCTGCATTTTTTTTTTTCGACATTTTTGAGAGCTGCCAATTGGATTAATCAGTTTTTTGAAGGGCTGCATTTTCATTTTCTCAATTTTTTGAAGGCTGCAATTCAGACCGATCAACTTTTTGGGAGCAGCATTTTTAATTTTTCAAATTTTTCGGAGCTGCATTTTCATCTTCTTAAATTTTTGGGGGCTGCAATTTGGAAAAATCAGCTTTTTGGGAGCTGCACTTTGGGTTGATAAAATTTTTGGGAGCTGCATTTAGGACAGTTCGACTTTCTGGGAGCTGCAATTATGACCGACCTATCATTTTTCGGGAGCTGCGTTTTTATCTTCTAAATTTTTGGGAGCTGCATTTAGGACAGTTCGACTTTCTGGGAGCTGCAATTATGACCGACCTATCATTTTTCGGGAGCTGCGTTTTTATCTTCTAAATTTTTGGGAGCTGCATACTGGACAGATCAATTTACTGGGAGATTCATTTTCATCTTCTTAATTTTTTTGGGGCTGCAATTTGGACCGGCCAACTTTTTGGGAGCTGCATTTTCATTTTTCGAGTTTTTCGGAGCTGCATTTTTATTTTCTCAATTGTTTGAGAGCTGCATTTTTATTTTCAAATTTTTGGGAGCTGCATTTTTATTTTTCAAATTTTTGGGAGCTTCATTTTTATTTTTCAAATTTTTGGGAGCTGCATTTTTTTCTTCGACATTTTTGGGAGCTGCAAATTGGATTAATCAGTTTTTTGAGGGCTGCAATTTAGACCGATCAACTTGCTGGGAGCTGCATTTTTATTTTTTGTTTGGGGGCTGCAATTAAGACTGATGAACTTTTTGGGAGCTGCATTTTCATCTTCTTAAATTTTTGGGGGCTGCAATTTGGAAAAATCAGCTTTTTGGGAGCTGCAATTTGAGTTGATAAAATTTTTGGGAGCTGCATTTGGGACAGTTCGACTTTCTGGGAGCTGCAATTATGACCGACCTATCATTTTTCGGGAGCTGCGTTTTTATCTTCTAAATTTTTGGGAGCTGCATTTAGGACAGTTCGACTTTCTGGGAGCTGCAATTATGACCGACCTATCATTTTTCGGGAGCTGCGTTTTTATCTTCTAAATTTTTGGGAGCTGCATACTGGACAGATCAATTTACTGGGAGATTCATTTTCATCTTCTTAATTTTTTGGGGGCTGAAATTTGGACCGGCCAACTTTTTGGGAGCTGCATTTTCATTTTTCGAGTTTTTCGGAGCTGCATTTTTATTTTCTCAATTGTTTGAGAGCTGCATTTTTATTTTCAAATTTTTGGGAGCTGCATTTTTATTTTTCAAATTTTTGGGAGCTGCATTTTTATTTTTCAAATTTTTGGGAGCTGCATACTGGACAGATCAATTTACTGGGAGATTCATTTTCATCTTCTTAATTTTTTGGGGGCTGAAATTTAGACCGATCAACTTTTTGGGAGCTGCATTTTTATTTTCTCAATTGTTTGAGAGCTGCATTTTTATTTTCTCAATTGTTTGGGGGCTGCAATTTGGACAGATCAACTTTTGGGAACCGCAATTAAGGCTGATGAACTTTTTGGGAGCTGCATTTTTATTTTTCAACTTTTTGGGAGCTGCAAATTAGATTGATCAACTTTTTGGGAGCTGTATTTCCGTCTTCTAAACTTTTGGGAGCTGCATACTGGACAGGTCAATTTACTGGGAGCTTCATTTTTATCTTCTTTATTTTTGAGAGATGCCTTTTCATCTTCTTAATTTTTTGGGGGCTGCAATTTGGACCGATCAACTTTTTGAGAGCTGCATTTGTCAATAAAGTCGTTCAAGCAGGATGTGCCCTCGGTATCCAACAATAGATTAGTGAGCCATTCTCATAGAGCTTCAAGTGATGGGAAATCGGATCTATTGTTTTTTTTTTCAAAACGACCCACTTTTTGGCTTCAATATAAACGGCATCATGTCACGGGCCATCTGAAAAAATTTTCAAATAGAATTTCTCGAAAAATGCTACTACGAACTTGAAAAGCTCTGAAAAAAAGAAACTAATTTATACATTTTGTTAGAAAATAACTTTATGAAATTAAATTTTCATGATTTTTATATACAGCGCACAAGTACATAAAACTTTACCTCAGGCCATTTTTTTCAAGTAAAAAAATCAAAAAAATGAACCACTCTGGTGCATCCGGACGACCTGCAGTAAAACCGTATAGTATACGATTTTTTTTCATTCTTTAGAATACTTTTCAGCGTGTCTTGATCAAACTTCGTCTGAAATTCAGTTTATGCGGAATGAGTGGAGGAAGGTCGCATTTGGAATGGCTCGACGCGTCGCGAGAGGTTTTCTTGAAGGTGAAAATAGAGCTGTTACTCAAAGAGAGTCATTTTCACTCTGCAACCGACTTTGAATGAGTTACGCTTTGTGGCATCGAATAGCGTGCGATCAAGGCAGTCTTCATAAAATTGACCGCGACGCAAACGCGGCGCATTGAGCCATTCCACATTTACTCAGTTTTATTGTCTTGAAACAAAAGAATTACTTTTGGGGCTAAAGTGCAGCCTTCGTTGTGTAATCCGTTTTCGGTCAGGGAAATCATACATAGACGTCTCTCGAACTGAACTTCAAAAATAATAAATAATCAATTTTTCGTTGAAACCGAGAGAAAAATTGATTCTTTTGAGAATATGGTTGTCGGGCTTTCAAAACAAAACAATAATCGTATAAAAAAAAGAAGTTCAAAAAAAAATCTTCAATCCAAAAACTGGCGGAAACGCGCTCCATAGATAACTAGATGAAAATTTGGTCTTTTTAGCTAGAAACGACTTTTTTTTTAGCTCATAAGGCTCCTTGTCTAAGATTTCTTCGCTATTTTTCAAAGTTTAGGCTTATTTTTCTGCGACTAAAATAATCAAGACCTATTACCCCGTCCACCATGCTGGCGACATGTAGGAAGTCGCAAGGCGCCATTCGACGTTCGATATATGATTTCTCTGCCAACGGATCCCCGTACCAACACACCGATTCGTGCCATACCAGGCGGCCTGCAAAAACGCCAGTATCCCTCAACGCGTCGCGTGGATGTAGGACTTTTGAAGAACAGAGCATTTCAAAAAATTTTGAGGTTTTATTCTAATCTTCTCAAATAAATGTCTCTACGCGAAAAACAGACTTTTCATCGCAAACTAAAGCCAAAATTAATTAAATTACCGGTCAAGAAACTGACGCAGAAGGCGGAAAACGTTACTGTCCTGTAAAGCGACATCGTATAGAAATGTCGGCGTCTCACGAATTACTTTTATTGATTATTCCATTCATTTTCTAGGTTTTATAGGTAAAGCTAAAAGATTTGAAGGTTTTTTCCCGTTTGCCACATGATCCAGGAATAAATTGAACTTAAAAACTAGGATCTTGCTGTTTCTTAGCTTCACCTTTCTCAAGCTTGTAGCTGAAATTCAAGAAAAAGTCAAAAAAATTTCCTTGTGCTTCCTAAAATAATTAGAGCCGTCTTTTAATGATTATTTATTGTTTTTTGATTTAAAAATCTAATTATTGATCAATTTTATTTCCTGATTACTAAACATAAGACGAGATCGTCAAGGCCAACGTTAATTCGATTTTAAGTGAAATAAGTTGAACACGCACGAAATTAAGGCGAGAGGTAAGCGGTTGAGAATCATTAGAGGCATTCCAAATTAAAATGATACATAACATAGAAAAAAACAAAGAAAGTGATAGATTACAAGGAAATATACAGTGAGAAGGGGTTATTTTCGGCGTTTCGTGTCTTGATATTCTTTTCGGACAAAATCAACCAATGTTTGTTGCGATTCGAGCAGTTTCGCGTACGTTTCTTCTGCCTAAAACGACGTTTTTCTCCTGAAATTGGCTACAAAACCGTTCTGACAATGTGGTAAATAGCTTTGATTTTAAAAAGAACTCTCATTGAATTGTTGTTGAATATAATTTCTCATTAGGAAAAACATTCATTCCTCTAGAATAATATTATGGACAAAAAACACAAACATTCAATTTTCAAGATTATATGGAACGAAAAAACTTCAATTCAATCTAAAATGAGTTTTTCACAGGGAAAAAAAGTTGAGAATTAATGCCTTGAAAAATAAAACTTGCGTCTCTCAAGCCGCGCTCTTGTCGTTCCCGTCGCTCGACCTCTTTTTGTAGTCTTTGCTCCACAAGCTGTTTCTTTTGGATAAGATCCTAATGTTAATTATCAATCGAATACATACACCAAGCTTCCCAGCCCTACTTCAATCTTTCTACTCAGCGTTTGACGGTCTTGCTCCAGAGAAGTGATCACATCATCTGTGCTTCGTTTCTCTTCGCGAATCCGCTCCAAATCTAATAAAATTTTGAATTATTCATAATTATAGCCTGTTTGAAAACTATAATAATTGAGCGAGAAACACTGGAAAAACCAACTATTTTAGAAAACTCACATTGTGAAATGTCATCAAAGCTGCTGCCGACGCGATTAGTCATTCTTCAAATTTCACATAGCTTAGTGTGAGAATAACAGGTTAATAAAGGAAAATTCTGTGTGGAGCGAACCCCTTGTTTCAGTTGTGAAAACATGGATCAAATATTAATAACACATTTATAGTGGTTCGATAACAAAAAAATAAATCAACAAAAAGGGTGCCGACTTATTTCTTTCCGGACGACACCTTAGCCTTAGCCGTTCCTCGGACCTTCTTTTGGCGGTTCTTACGTTCCTTACGTTGCTTACGTCCTGGCTTCTCAACCTTCTTGCCGAGTCCCATCTGAAAAAAATCTTTTTGAGGATCAAAATGATAAAATTATTTTTAAGCAATACATATTCCAAGATTTGATGCCGTATTCAAAGTAATTTTTCGTGAAAATCAAATTTATCTGCGGCTCTCCAAAGTTTTTAAGATGGGTCGCCCTCGATGCATTCCTCCAAACTATATACGTTCACCACCTTAACATCTTATCTATTTACCTATTTTCTGATTCTCGTATATACTTGCAATTATCTTTCTTCCCTCTCGGGTGGCTATTCTGAATTTCGCGGTATCACTTTGAACACAGCAATAATTAAAGGAATGACTATTTAAAAAAATTTCTCAACTACTTTGTTCCCAATGTTCAAATACTTCGATAATATTATCATTAAAAAAATTCAATAAATATATCTCAAACATATTGAAAAATTAATCCTTGTTTCTTTACAGCAGCTATAATTATTATGAATCAGATACTTCTTGTTTACGAAACGAATTCCTGTATCAACAAAAAAAGATAAAAAGCATTTTTGCTCTTTATTGGCCACCTAACCAGCTTTTTAAATATAAAAAAATTCTTAAAAATCTCGACGTTCAAGTTAAAAAAATGAACCAATTTGAAATATAAGCATGACGAAAAAATCAGAAAAAAAAATTCTGGAAAACTCACGCGGACCAATCGGTGTCGGGGCTCGAACTTCTTGGCGTAGTCAACGGTGTCGTAGATCAGAGCGAATCCCTTGGTCTTTCCACCTCCAATCTTTGACTCGAATCCGAAGGGGATAACGGTGTCGGGGGTGGTTTTGTACATCTTGGAAATGCGCTCGCGGATGTCGGCCTTGGGGACATTTGGGCGTCCTGGGTGGATGATTTCGACAACCTAAACTGCTTCGTGAAAATGGAGAGATGTCGTTAACATTGGAAACAGTTCTTGAAAATTATGATATTTTCGAGTAGCACTTTTATTTTAAAATCTCAAAGCGCGATCAACCAACTTAATCAAACAAAAACTGAAGTAATTTTTTAACTAGCTCATGTGAAACACTTATAAGCTTAATATGTTTTTTTTTGTTCAAATTCATAAATTCACAAAAATAATCATATGTTCATCGGAAAAAAACGAAAATTGTTCCAAAACAAAAATTAGTACTGTTCAACTTTGGTGCGCCAATAAGAACGCTTGTGCATTTTGAAACATGTTTTGTTTCTCCAACGTCAATAAATTCAAGAAATAAATACACTTTATAACTCGAAAAAAAAAACAGACCATTTGCTTCCTGTACAGAAGTTTGTTGGTGACGACCCTGCGCGTGCGAATGGTGACAACGTCTCCCATTTTGTTAAAACCCTGAAAAAACAATTTAAAAAGGTCATGATTATAAAATTTCTCAAAAAAAAAAATAGTGGAATGATATTGTTAAAGGTCTAGAAAATTTGATAATAATGAGATTTTCCGAAATAAACTTCTTTTAAAAGATTGAAGTACAAAAAATATGAGAGAAATAGAGTAAAAGATAAAAAGAGGGTCAGCTTATGAAAACCTAGTGCTTTTAACGCATTTAGACACTTAAAAAAGCTCAAAAAAAAAAATTTTGACAAAAAATTCATCCGGAGTAGCTTCACAATATCAAAAGAAATGATTATAATAAGAAAAAGAGTGAAAATATTTTCAATTCAAGAAAAAATTGAATTAAGCCATATTGAATCGTTGGAAAAAATGCCAAATAGATCTAGGACTGTTCTAACTACTGTTTTCTGCTTTTAAAAAAAGGCAAAAAAATCAGGAAAATTCATTATTATACAATTAAAAAAAGAAAAAATAAAATAAAATAACGAGAGCGGCATCTCGCACACTGTAACGTTTCTTACGCAGTGTTGACGGGTCTCAACGCGACGCCCTGGTTTTCTCACCAGCTCTGCTGCGCCTTTAAATAAGCGGTTGCAGGAAATTTTTGAAAAACGGAGAAATTCAACCAAAAATCTTGGATTTCCATGTAATTCAATACCCTTGCTTCTTTTTTTTTCGCAAAGATATTGGAATTGTATTAGCACCATCGAATTACCGGCTAAAAATACTGAATGGCGCAGAAACATACGTGAAACTGGTAGCCTTGTTTTTTTTTCCGTTTAAAACTTTTTGATTCAATTTTCTTCGTCTGGCATATTCATTTTGAAGCTTAATATGCTTTTTTTATTTTTTTGAATATTTCACTTGCTTCAATAGAAAAAAACAGAAATGAAAAATTTGAAAAATTTATTTTTAAATTATTTTTAGTGTATATTTTGAAAAATTATTTTCGTTCCAAAAAGAAAAATTTGGGTTGATCGCAATCTTTTTGACAATCAAGTCCTCGTTTTATGAAAACTTTCCCATTATGCTAAATTGAATGGTTAAAAAGGCGGAAAAGTACATGTCGTCAAGGAGTCATGTACTATTTGAACTAAAAAATGGACACAAAAACGTTTTTTTTTTTAAAATAATTCAGCTTTCCTTTCCAAAGGAAAAACGAGTTTAGACTTTTTCTCTGTGTGTCCTCATAAATTTTCAACTAGAAAATATTACTTCCTTTTTGTTCAACTAGCCCATTTATGGTTTTCTTGTTTTCGTTTTTGGTCTCGTTGAGTGTTCTTCTTGTTCAAACTTCAAATTTTCGTCAACAGGTCAAATAAATCGCCCCAGCCGAGCAACATGAACTTTTGAATCACAGTTTCCAGCCATTTCCAGCCGTTTGGCAGCAAAAAAGAACCTTCTAACATTTCTTAGAAGAACAACACTCCCTAAAATTCTAACTTGACTCTCAAATCCCAGTTTCGAACGATTTCCAGTTGTCTGGCAAGACAAACGGATCACGTGACTTGAAGAGCGAGCCCAAAAGTCAAAAGCTCCGAAATTCAGTAAACACTTGTGGCGAACCCCTACAGAAAAAAACGAAAAGTTGGAGTGACGGACGGAGGGTCGGAGGGACAGGAGATGGCGCAACTCCGGCAGCGGCGAGACAACGACGGAAGCCGCGGAGGGCGCCGGACGACGGAGACGCGATCTGCAGGCGCCGAGGCGGCAGCCGTGTCCCCACGTGGACCGCGAGCTGCACCTCCGACAGTCTTCCTTCTTTTTTTTTTCTTGATTTTTGATTTTTACTGTTTCTGAAAAAAAAAGTTTTGAGCTTTTCTGAAATATATAATTTAAAAAACCATTCCCATATTCTTCTCAATGCGCTCTGTCTTCATAGCGACCAAGATCTTTAGAAATCTGAGCTTTAAATAGAAGCGGAAAAATCGTTAACAGTGCGCTCCACGGATAAAAAAATATATAAAAAAATAGCTTTTTCTGCCAATAGAGAGAATATAATCCTGTTATATCTCACATGAATCCTTTAAATTAGGTTTACTAAAAAAAACGTCCTCAATTTTCCCCATGTTTCACCTAAAAAAAAACAAACAAAAGCAGAAACTGCAGTAAAAATTGAATATTGGCAAAATTTAAAAAATACCTTTTCGCGCCGTTTTTTTCATTCATTAATCCAGCGCAAGTCTTCCCACTAATTCTTGGGCAGTTTTCAATTTTCTATCATTTTTTCTTTCTAGATATATCGAGGCGTCAGATTTTCATCAACTTCAAAAGATGCCGGCACTCAGACGCATCCAAAACATTTTTTTCAAAGGTTCCATCAGAAAATGTTGCAAAAAAGCACTTAATGTCAATTTTCCAGTAAAATTTGTCATTTACGATCTTTTGGAGCAATAAAACAAAGGTTTTATCATTGAAAAAAACGTCACGGACCGCAAAATGAACCTATTTTCTGAGTAAAAAGAGCATTTTTGACGAAAAACAGCGTCAAGAGATTTTTTATAGAGTTTAGTCTGAAAATTCATTGTTTGAACTCAGAAAAAGGCCTAAAAATAGCCGCCGACTCTCACGTGACAAACCTTCAAAGATTTCCCTCAAAATTTCGCTTTTCTCTATCTGAATGTTGCGATTTTTCGGTTTTTCAAATTTCCCATTGGTTCTTCATGAGTTCCTGTGTAACTCAGTGACTCTCGAAACTTGTTAAAAAAATTGTTTTTTTAATTTATAAAAAGAAAAACTTTGAAACTTTTTCATTGGAAACTGGGCCATTAAAGGTATTTTATTGGCGCATCAGCCAAGGACATCAGACACGAGAAAAAAAAGCCATTAAGAGTGCCGAAAAGTGTCCTGGGGTGAGTTTCGATGGGCTCACAGATTCTTTTTTTCGTTGAACAGTGTGAAGAGTTTAGTTTGTGTGTAGTTTGAAGTTGAGAACCGAGTTTGGGAGTAGTTTGACGTTGAAAATGTGGAAAATCAGCGCCAAATTAATGCCGTTTTCAAAGTAATTTCCGCGAAACGCAAAATTATTTCTGACTATCCAAAGTTTAGTCATCTTTTTCTTTCTCTGACGGCTTTGTTGGATTTCGCGGAAGCACTTTGAACACGGCATAACATGAAAAAAAAGCAATTTATGGAGGAGCTGAATGTTTTTTTTCTGAGCTACTGTAAGCAAAAGTCCGTACAAGGTGTGTGTGCACAAACTCGAGCCCGCGGCCGCGCAGCGGGATTTCCTTCAACTTTTGGACTTTACTGCTTTTTGTTTATTGATGCTGTTCTGAGTCTTAAAATGTCCTCGCAAATTTTTTTTTTAAGCATTCGATCAGCCTTCTTTTGTTTTAATGGAGTTTTATTCTGATTAAAGACATTTCTTTTGTAATTTTTGTCGTCCAATTTTCTCTTTTCAGTGATTCAATACGTTCCTATCTATATTACCATATTTTTAATTGTTCGAAAAGTCACTTTAGTTGCATTTTAGACATGAGGTTGCTGCAGAGAAATGCAGCAGCGACGACATGGCGACGCCTGGCCCATTCGCTGCGAAACCAGCCGACGCTCGCGATTCGTCGCGAAACCGTCAACGCCTGGGAACGTCGCGCTCCTTTGGCTCCAGTCCATGTGAAGCGACTCGTCAAATCGGGCATCAATGTCATTATTCAGCCCAGTAATCGACGAGCTTTCCCTATCCAGGTTTTTTTTCGCTTTCATAACTGAAGTCAATACATTTTGGAACCGCTAAGATGCTCTAGAAGGTTTTATATAGCTTGAAAACGCAAGTTTTCGTTGAAATTGTTTGGTTAATCGATTTGAAAAAAAGAAAAAATCGCAAAATATTTTTTTAGGACTACATTTCCGCTGGGGCCGTTGTGAAGGAGGACCTATCTGAAGCTCAAATTATCATGTCCGTTAAATCAGTGAGTTTCAGAATTATTTTTAGCCCTAAATTTCAATTTTCCAGGTACCTATCGATCAATTAATCCCAGAAAAGACCTATTGTTTCTTCTCCCACACGATCAAGGCGCAGCAGGATAATATGGAAATGCTCGATACGATCCTTCAAAAGGTAATTTTTACCTGTTTTGAGAATATTCAGCTTTGTTTAGAACATCCGATTGATCGACTACGAGAAAATCGTGGATAGTCGAGGAAAACGGCTGGTTATGTTTGGAAAATGGGCCGGAAACGCCGGTTTCATCGATATTTTGCATGGTTTGGGGCTCAGGTTTGTTGAAAAATTGAAAAAAAATAAGAAAAGATAAATTTCAGATTACTCGCCTTGGGCCATAATACTCCATTTCTGCACATGGGTCTTGCCCACAATTATAACGATTCCCACATGGCGATCAATGCCTTGAGAGATATTGGCTATGAAATCGCATTGGATCGGATGCCGAGGTGAAAAAATCAGAAATTCAGAAAAAAATCTTTTAAATAAGCATGTTATCAGTAAAGTAAGGTAAAAAGCTTGGAAATTCCCGGAAAATTCGAAAAAAAGACATGAAAACTCAGAGAAAACTTGAGAAAAGGCGTATTGTCAGTAAAAAAATTAGTTAGAAAAAAATCATTATTTAAGAGGCATGCAACCATTAAAATTTGATTAAAAGCTTGGAAATTTTGAGAAAAATTTGGATACCAGAGAGAATAGTTAGGCATATTATGAATAAAAATTTTGTAAAAAGTTTGGAATTCCAGAAAAATTTTTTTCTAATATAAGAATGATAGGTAAAAAAAGCCCAGAGAATCTTTTTTTGAACTTCTAGTTGCTTTCCAGCATATTTTTTTATTTTGAAAAAGAGAAATAATAAAAAAATATTTTGGTGAAAAATTAGCGAATTTCCTTTTTGAGGGGCTTTTTTTCGTTTTTTTCCTGAGAAAAATTAAGGTTCAAGAGTTTTTTTCCATGAGCTTTCAATTCTCTGAAATAAGCATTAACTAATAACTCATTGTAAAAAAAAAACGCGAAAAATAAATCTGAACGATTTTCACTACAATTTTTTCCCTTTTTCAACTCTCCCGATCATTTTTGGGCTTTTTACTTTTTTCGTTTGCTCCTCCAAGTTTTCTAGTTCAACGATTACTTGTAAAAACCTGTTTTTTCGTCTAAATTCATCATTTTTTCGATTTTCCTTCTCAAAACTGATTCAAAAAAACTGTCCCTTTCTTATCATTGAAGTCTTGATTTTTAGATCCCTCGGCCCCTTGATTTTCGTTTTCACCGGGTCCGGAAACGTTTCCCAAGGAGCTCAGGAGCTTTTCGAACATTTACCCCATGAATATGTCGACGTGGCGACTTTGCCCAAAGTTGCCAAGAAAGGACGTTAGTTTTTATTATCCTTGATTTTTTTACTTATCGATTTTTAGAACTGAACAAAGTCTACGGTTGCGTCGTCACCCGAAAAGACCATTTTGTTCCGAAACATGGTAATTTTAAAGAAAAATTATGAAATATATTGAATTTTTGAATTTTCAGGCGGTCCTTTCGATCATGCAGAGTTTAGCGAGCATCCCGAACGATTTACTTCGAAATTTGCGACGGCTGTGAGTTTAAAAAATGGAAAAAAATGGGTTACTGTAGCTACTCGGTGTTTGCGGTCGACTGCAGAATACATTTAATTCCACGACTTTTTTTCTCAAATTTATTTTGCTCTTTTTTTTGAATTCATTACCATTTTAGACGTTGAAAAAATAATTTTTCACACTTTTCAGATCGCCCCCTATGCCTCCGTTATCATCAATGGTGTGTATTGGGATTCCCATTCGCCGCGTTTAATCACGATTCCCGACGCGAAAAATTTGCTAACCCCTGTTCAAAAAGTTGGAAAATACGAGTTTTCTAAGAAATTTATGATTTTTCCAGTACGAAACTCCGGGCTGTCCGACCTTGCCGCATCGCCTGGTGGCCTTGTGCGATATTTCCGCAGATCCAGGAGGTACTGTAGCTTTTATTCAGTTGTGAGAAAATAACTGATTTTTGAGAGCTGCAAATGATTTTTTTAAAGATGATATGCTTTTTGTTTTTGTACGGAATTCTACCTGAGTCGATTTTTTGATCTTTGTTCATGTTATAAACTGAAAACATCTGGAAGAATTAATTACAGTAAGCTCTTTCCGCAGATATGAAGGGTACTGTAGCTTTTATTCAGTTGTGAGAAGAGAACTGATTTTTGAGAGCTGTAAATGAATTTTTTCAGTTAAGAGATGATTTTTATCCTTTTTTTCGTACTGAATTTTTTCTGAGTCGATTTTTCCACCAGTTTTTTTGCTGTATTCTGAAAATATCTGAAAAAATAATTACGGTAACTTTTTTTCGCAGATATAGGGGGATACTGTAGCTTTGATTTAACTGTGGGAAGAGAACCGATTTTTGAGAGCTGTAAATGATTTTTTTTTTTGTCAAAAGATGATTTTTAACTGTTTTTCGTACTAAATTCCACCTGCACAAAATTTTTACTGATTCAAATTTTCCATGTCAAAATCTGAAAACATCAGATTACAGTAACCTTTTTCCGCGAATCCAGAGGGTACTTAATGTAGCTTTGATTGAGCTGTAAGAAGTGAACCGAGTTTTGAGAGCTGCAAATGAGTTTTTAAAAATAGCCAGGAGATGATTTCGCATCATTTTCTTGTACAAGAGTTTACCTTATTCAATTTTTTTAATATTTACATCTGAATCATAGTTACAGTAACCTTTTTAAAGGCTCAATCGAGTTTATGCGCGAGTGCACCACCATTGACAAGCCTTTCACCATCTACGACGCCGATTTCAACACTTCAACTGATAGGTTTTTGCCTTGAAAAATGAAAAAAAAAATGATTTTTTTTTTCAGTTTCGGCTCTCCATCGGGCTGTCTTGTGTGCTCCATTGATAATATGCCCGCCCAGATGCCAATCGAAGCCACTGAACAGTTTGGCAACCTGCTTTATCCCTACGTTAAGGATATTGTGAGTGGGGGTTTTTGGAAATTGAAGGAATAAGGGACCCCTTTAGGGACTACTCGGGGGACTTTTAGTTGAATTTTGAGTGGGAGATTTATGTTTAAAATCGTCTGAAATTGAAAAAAAAAAAATAAGACTTTACTTTATTTCTGTGTAATAGTGTGATTAGGGGAGAAAGAATGGAATTTTCTTCTTAAAAATATAGAATTTTGAGAAGTTATAGTAACTCCTGGCTAAAGGATGCTGGATTTTTGACTTTTTGAAGTTTTCCAACATTGAAAAAACAGAAATCATCTCGTTTTCCAGATGAAATGCGCCACGAACAAGGCCTTCGATTCACTTCAGTGCCGTGACGAAGTCAAAAACGCGATTATCACGGATTCCGGATCACTCACCCCGAATTACACCTACATCGAGCAGTTGAGAAAGGATCAGGCGATGTTAGTACTGGAAAAACCAGAAAATTTGGGTTCAGAAGCGAAGAAATGCATATATAGAACAAGAGAAATTAATGCTGCGTCAAAAAATAAGTTAAAAATCATTAAAAAGCAAGGAAAAACAAAGAAAGGCAGCTGAAAAGCTTGAAATTCGACTTTCATCTGTGGTATAGGGTATTTAGCGGATGAAAACTATAGGAGAAGCTTTAAAAAAAGGATTTAATTTTTCATTTTAAGTTCTGTAGAGCTTGAATAATTCGAAGTATTTCATGTAAATAGGGAAATCAGAACAGAAAATAGCTAGAAAATAGGAAAAAAAAGAGGTCAAGGGAAAACAGGAAAAATTAGGGAAGGAGTGGAAAAATTGAAGTGATGAAGAAATGTATAAAAATGAAAAAAAAAGCGCCAATGAATAGAGAAAATATCAATTTAGAACTGAAACTAACATAAAAATCATAAAAACGTGACAGAAGTACACAAAGAAGACTTTAAAAGCTTGTTATTTGACTTTTATTCGTGGTGTATGATATTTAGATGATAAAAACTAAAGAGGAAGCTTGAATTTTTTCATTCTGCAGAGCTTGAAGTATTTCAAAAGTTTGGGAACGACTAGAAACATCTAAGTGACGAATAAATACATAAAAACGAACCGAAAAAGCGCCAAGGAAAAAAAAAATCAAATATGAACGGGAAAATGGCATAAAAATCATAGAAAAGAAACAGAAGAAAATTCAAAAATATTAAGATTAGATTTTGTTGTGTTGTATATGGTATCCAGACGATGAAAACAGTTTAATTAGCATGAAAATTTAACTTATTGTATTGTAGAGATCGAATATTTATGCCGTGTTCAATTTGATTACGCGAAATGCAAAATGCCCGTTAGAGAAAGGGAAAGATCACTGAACTTTGGAGAGTCAGAGATCATTTCGCGTTTCGCGGAATAAAATTGAACACGGCATTAGAATTGTCTTATGTTAATAGTGAAATAAAAGCAAAAAAAAAAAGCTTGAAATTGATGCCGTGTTCAAAGTAATTTCCGCAAAATGCAAAATGATCTCTGACTCTCCAAAATTTGGTGATCTTTTCCTTTCTCTAGCGGGTATTTTGCATTTCGCGGAATCAAATTGAACACGGCATGAAGTTATAATGCCATTTTCAAAATAATTTCCGCGAAATTCAAAATTATCTATGACTCTCCGAAATTCAGTTGTCTTTTCTACTCTCTGACAGCTGTTTTGAACCTCGCGAAACCACTTTTTACACGACATAATGACAAAAAAAGGGGGGTCAAACCCACGTTTCTTTTTTCTTGTTGACGTAAATAAGAGCAAGATAGAGAGTGGCAGACACGTTGGCTCCGCCTTCCGTTCGATAAGCGCGTGGCTTTTTTTTTCATTTTCATTTTCGCTTCGTTTTTTTTTCTTGAACGTTTGTTGAAATAGCTTATTCACGGCCAGCTTGGGACGTAAAGGGGCGTGGCCTGTCTGCGCTCTCCACCAACCAGGCACTATCTCTTTTATTATCGTGTCAGGACCCTTTTTCGATGGCTCGAGCCAGCCGTGAATCAGCTATAGTTAGTTTTGTGAAAATTATCATTTTTCTGGCCTTCTCTACAAGAATGATAGTTCAACGTGATTTTGAGCACTACCTTTCAAAAAAGTGACCTTTTTCAGGTCCTCCCACCACAAATCCCGGGTCATGGGAACCAATGATAAGAAGGTCCTTTTATTGGGCGCCGGAATGGTCAGCGGCCCGTTCGCCGACTTTTACTCCAAACAGAAGGATGTTGGTTGAAAAATGAAGACGTGGGGAGGATTTTGACGTCTTCAGGTCGTCCTGACGGTTGCCACGGAATCGCAGATGGACGGACAGAGGCTGATGACGGCGCCGAATATTTCTTCGGTCGTCGTTGACGTCGCCAGGGAGCCTCATCGCATTGAGAAGTTGATCGGGTTGGTTTTGAGCGTGTTTTTCAGGGTTTTTTATAACTTATTCCATTTTTGCAGCCTCCGAATTGCTACAGTAGCTTTTTCCTTCTATATTTTCCCTCTTCCTTGAGTTTTTGTGGTTTTTAGAAATCTTGCAACTCGTTTTTTCAGTCCTGTTTGGTCTTTGAAGGATTTTTTCGTTTCTTGTTTGTCCTGGAAGGTGGTTACTTTCATATAGATTTTTTTCAAAGTGAATACTTTTTTTGAACCATTGATTTTTCTCAGGGAACACGACCTGGTCGTTTCCCTGCTACCCTTCAACTTCCACCCGCAAATCGCCCGCATGTGTATCGCAAATCACCGCGATATGGTTACGTCGAGCTACGTTTCGCCTGAATTGGAAGCTCTCGACAAGGCGTTAGTTTTATATTTTTTTTATGAAATTCTGCGAATTTTGCTGAATTTTCTTCTAGAATATTACGCAAGAAAATCGAAGAATATAACTAGAAAAATTTTTTTTTGCCATAACTTTAATTCTAGGACCTTTCTGCTTTTTCTTACTCATAATTCGACGAAATTTCCTCTCCTCATAGTATCATTTTGCATTTAGAAGAAAGTTCCAGCTTCTCGAATGGACATGAATCCTGAAAAGAGCATATTTCAAGCAGAAAAAGATAGCTTCTGTCGAGTTTTGAGAACTTCTTGAAGATTTCTAGCCGTTACGCTTCTTTTGAACCTATTTTCCGACAAAAACGCTCACGGGGGTTGAACCAGAGACTATTTCAAGTATAGAAAGAGCTCTTAGCCACTAGGCCGTTGACGAAAACATAAAAAACTGAATAATAAGTCAATTTTTAGTGCCAAAGAAGCCAACGTGACGATAATGAACGAGGCCGGCCTCGACCCAGGAATCGACCACATGTTGGCCATGGAATGCTTCGACGAGATCAAAAATCACGGCGGACGGGTTTTCCTGACGTCATCTCCTCTAAAATACTGTAGTATTACTGTAGGTGACGTCATTCGTATCATTCTGCGGCGGTCTTCCGGCGCCGGAATGGTCCGACAATCCATTGCGGTACAAGTTCTCCTGGAGTCCCAAAGGAGTCCTGACCGCCCTGATGAACCCGGCTAGGTATCTGATGAATGGAAAGGTGGATAAATACCTGAAAAAATGAAGGTAGATACAAAGTTCCAGGTGAAAGAAGTACCGTCCGGCGGCGTGGTTGATAACCTCTACCCCATCGATTTCATGCCCGGACTCAATTTGATCGGATTCCCCAACAGGGACTCGACAAAGTATGCGGATATCTACGGCCTTGGACCCGAGTGTGGAACGTTGTTGAGGGGAACGCTTCGTTATCAGGTTATTTTTACGATGATGTGAAAAATTACGGTTCTTAGGAGCTTGAAAAGGTTACATTGAATGGATTTTTGAGCTAAGGGAGTGAAGTTTCTTTTTTTAAATCAGTTTGAGTACACCATGAATTAAAAAATGAAATAGTCGATCTGCAGCTCTCAAAAGTGATCAAATAGAAAAATTTGCAGCCCTCAAAAATAATCATTTAGGTAAATTTGCAGCTCTCAAAAATAATCAAGTAGACCAACTTGCAGCTCTCAAAATACAACTTGCAGCTCTCAAAAACCTGTTAGATTGATTTGCAACTCTCTAATATAATCAAATAGATCGATTTGCAGCTCCCAAAAAAAAAAAATCAAGTAGACCAACCTGCAGCCCTCAAAAATAATAAATTCGCCCAACTTGCAGCTCCCAAAAATAATCAATTTGACCAACTTGCAGCTCTCAAAAATATACAGTTTTACCGATTTGCAGCTCTCAGAAATAATGATAAAGCAGAAAAATTTGCAGCTCTCAAAAGTAATCCAGTAGACCAACTTGCAGCTATCAAAAATAATAAGTTTAACGAATTTGCAGCTCTTAAAAATTATCAAGTAGACAAACTTGCAGCTCCCAAAAATAAACGAGTAGACCGATTTGCAGCTCTCAAAAATCTGTTAGATTGATTTGCAATTCTCTAATATAATCAAGTAGATCGATTTGCAGCTCCCAAAATTTATCAAGTAGACCAACTTGCTGCTTCCAAAAATAATCGAGTAGACCGATTTGCAGCCCTCAAAAAAGATTAAGCTGGCCAAAAGCAGCTCGAAATTGACAAGTCAGCAACCAATTGACTTTTTCACAAATTTGGACCAATTCTAGTTATTTTGGGCTTTTTCGTGCTCCAAACACCTTCAAGTGCAAGAAATAAAAACCGACCGCTTTTTCCAGGGATTCGTCGAAACGGTGAAAGCCCTCCACTCGGTTGGACTTTTGTCCTCAGAACCCACTGATGCCTTCACTTCTACCATTGGACCCGATCATACCTGGGTACAAAAATACCTAAAATTGCCCATTTTCAAGAAAAATTGGTTCAGAAAGAGCTGATGGCGTCGCTTCTCAACAAGAAATTTGACATCTTCCCCGATTCTCTAAGAAATATTGCCGCCGAGAAGGTTGAGAACAAGGTTTTCCTGAAGAAAATGAAAGGAAGGTTGGAAAAATCGGGGATTTAGGTCGGAATGAAGTCCCTGGTGGAGTTGGGACTTTTCTCGGATGTCGTCGTAGACCGACACAATACTCCCATTGACACGTTGGCTCATTACCTGTCCAAGGTAATCAGAAATAAATTGAGGATTCGATGAGATTTTCCAGATTCTGGCCTTCAAACCGAATGAAAGTGATCTGGTCGTCTTGAATCATGATATTACTGCTCAGTTGCCAGGTAAGATTTTGAAAATGATGAAAAAAGCCCTCAAAAAAATATTCGACCAATTTGCAGCCCTCAAAAATAATCAAATAGGCAAATTTGCAGCTCTCAAAAGTAATCAAGTAGGCAAATTTGCAGCTCTCAAAAGTAATCAAGTAGACAGATTTGCAGCTCTCAAAAATAGTCGAGAACTTTCGAAATTTTCCATAAAAGGCCTGGTTTTTTAAAGGGGACCCCAAACTTCGTTTTTTTCTCTTTCGTAACCTTTTTTGAGGTTAAATAAAGTCTCTGGGAATTTTTCTAGTGTTTTCCAATAATTTCCTCCTTTTTATAACTTTACCAACTACATCCCTGAACCTGAAAATATTTATACATTCAATTAAAAATTCAAAAAACTAGGGAAATTCAGGAGGAAAATCGGAGAAACACCGGATCAGTTTGGTACAGTACGGACACACGGAAGGATTTTCGGCGATGGCCCGGACTGTTGGCTACACGACGGCCATTGTCTCACACATGGTCCTTATGAGTACGTTTCATGGCTCAGTGTTGCTCATGTTAAAAAAAAACAAGCGAAAAAACCGTATTTATTGGTTAATGTTATCAAAAGGAGCTATTTTTCAGCCAAAAAATTTGTTTTAGTAAATTTCAGATTGAATCCCAAAAGCTCACATTTCTCATAATTGTATCTCTCATTGTTGCTCATGTTAGAGGGGAAGCAGATTTAAATTTTCTTTTTTTACTGGTTTATGTTATTTAGAAAAGCTATTTTTCAGCCGAAAAAATCTATTTTTGAATATTTAAAGGATCATTCTCAAATATTTTGAATAAATTTCAGTCTAAACTTATTTTTTTTCTCATACGTTGTATATCTCATTGTTGCTCATCTTAAAGAAGAGGGATTTTTTTAGCGAATATATATCTACCGAAGCTATCTTTCAGTCGAAAAAAATGCTATTTTTTTGAATATTTAAAGGACCATTCTCAAATTTTTTTGAATAAATTTAAGACTAAACATATGTTTCTCGTACGGTTTATATCTCATTGTTGCTCATGTTAAGGAAAACAAATTTTAAAAAACGAAAAAAGCCAGTTTTCAGCCCAGAAAATCTCATTTTTTTTTTGGATAATTAAAGGACTTCTACCTCAAAAGAAGAAGAAGATTTGAAGGACCATTCTCAATTTTATTTGAATACTTTCCAGACGAAATCCAAAAGGCGGGAATCCAAAGACCGATCCTGAAGCAAGTCTACCGACCGGCGCTCCAACGCTTGAAGGACTTTGGAATTTCGGCCACCCATACCGTGACTCCGATTTGAAACATTTTATAAATATCTTGTAATATATCTCCCCCATTTATCATATTTTTATCGAATCAAGGCTCACACTTTAAAGCTCACCACTTTTTTTCTAGGCCATAATATTTATATTTTATTCATTTTCTTCCTTTTTTTAGTAAGACGTTGTTGGTTTCTTGTTACTTTCAACCGGTTTGAAGTCTTCTTTTTCTGTTATCACGTTTTAGTGGGTATTTTTTTCTTCTTCTTTTTAAAAAAATTATATTATGAATTTCGTTCTTGTGTATGTTTTATATAAAGATTGTTTTGTTTGAGACGAGATTTTTGCTCGAGAAGAATCGATCGATACTCGGGGGCTCTTTGTAATGCCCACAGAGCCGAGTGAGCCGAGCCGAGAGTGTGATGATTTTTCGTGTTGGTTTCGAAATTTTTGAAGATTTTCGAGCATTTTCCCCGACTTTTTCCATTTGGCTTGATTTATCTCTTTAAAATGTTATTTTACAGCGTTTTTTTATAAGTTTTTCGGGTTTGTAAGCTGTCTTTTGAAGTGATTTACGAAAAAATCGAGCTTCTTTAGCCTATTCTAAGCATATAAAATCGATTACTAGTTTTTTTGAGGTGCACTAAAAACTTTCAAGAAAAGATGAGTCATCAGTATTCTCGCTCCTATGATTTATTTTCAGAAATTGTAGTTTTTGGCCTATTTTTTCCGACTTTCATGTTAATTTTCCAGATTTTTCGAGAATTTGGAACCTTTTCGAGCTCAAATTTTGTGTAGAAATGTCGATTTTCAGATATTTAGGTAATTTTCAAGAGCCAAGTCGGGAAGGATCGAAAAATCCTTTTTTGAGCTTTTTTGCGCCATTTCAACGGGTATTTTGCACCATTTTTGCTGTCTCTCCCTTTTTCCACCAGCCTTTAAAATCCCAGAAAAAATGGGAGGGTTGATAAAGGGACCTTTTTTGCAGCCGTTTTGCAGCCTTTCTCGAGCCTTTTAGTGACCATTTTTAAAGAAAATGTCCTAAAATTCAGTGACCGCAAAGCCACGTCCCTTTTTTCGATGGTGAAACACACGTGACTAATAATTGTTCAACTATCATAACTTTTTTATAACAAGAGAGTCGGTAAATGCTGTACTTTGAGGTGAAGTGGTGTATAGCGCGAACGCCTCTCATCTCCAAGAGATGTACGTGGAGCAGCGCAAGTGCGCTTGCATACGGTTTTGGTATCGCGAGTTCGATCCTCGAAGCTGCCATTTTTTTTATTTTCCATGAAAAAATAGCTTTTCTCTTCAAACTTGTGGTTTTATACTGTTTTAATGACTTATTATGACTTTGAAAACTGAACTAAACTACTAAAAAATTCGAATCCGATATGAAAACAAAATGAACGACCAAAAGTGTAAAATCTAAAATTTCGCGACTTTTTTCCCTACTGTTTTGACCATAGCTTTTTTTGTTCTCAGCCTTTTTCGAAAAACTAAACTGTTTTGAATAGTAAGTTGGAACAGCTATCCAATCATAATAATATTGGAGCTCGAAAATTCTTTTTAAAACTTGGTTGCGGTCCCTATCTAGAATTGCGAAATTTGTTTTCTGCTTTATATTTGTATACTTCTATTGAAATTGAACGGATTTTTTCCAGAAATGTCCGTAAATCTGATCGCTGGCCGGGGGGTCACTCAAGTGGTCATTCGGTGCGAAGAGGCGAAAACTTCCGGTTATTTGGGTAACTTTTTTAGGTTCTAACAAGGAAGATAAGTTCATTTTAAGGTTCGGAATTATTTTTTTATCTGATTTTGAAAAATCCTGAAAGTCTCAACCTTCAAAACTCTTTAGTTTTTGAGAAATAGAAGCTGAAAGCCCCAAAATGGCCTATTTTGAACGGTTTTCAGGGGTTTCTCGACTTTGGGTCCTTATTTCTCAAAAACTAAGAAGTTTTGCAGGTTGAGACTTTCAGAATCGTCTTTTGGGGTCTCAAGAAAAATTTTGGGCGATTTTCAAGAAGTTCCCAAAGTAAAATCACCTCCTTGTAAGTGTTTGGTGATACACTATGAAAATTCAATAAAAAATTTTTCCAGTTTTTTTTTGAATATTTTCCCCAAATAAACTCAAAAATCATCCCTAAAATTATAGAATCAAGAAAAATTAAGTTTCGCTTTGAAAAAAAGCCAAAAATTGACTCATAACCCATTTTCAGACCTCTCCTCCTGCTCCCTCATGTTCATTGCCGACGCAATTTATCTCCTTTTAAAGGGTTATGAAATTGATAAGGTTTCTAATTCTGTTCTGAATAAACTAATGGAAGAAGTTTCAGGTGAACCTTCGGAACAACGGGTTCAAAAAATTCCCCAAGAAAATGGTCACAAAGTTTCCGAATTTGACAAGTGAGCCGTTTTTCGTAAAGAAAATGATATTTAAATAAAAGAAAACGACAGATTTTCAAAAATTCCCATGAAAACAAAAAAATTTGGCTGTATTCCTAGTTGTTCCTCATGTTATTAACTTTATTGCTCATGTTAGCTATGATGAAAAGTTCTCATGTGTTTCATGGAATCCCTGGTTCTTCAAAAACGATTTCCAGTCTTCAACATGGAAGGGAACGAGATCGAGGAGGTGCCTACAGAACTGGGGAGCTGGACCAACTTGAAAGGCATCAACGGAGCCAACAACAAGCTTCAGAAGTTTCCCGAAGGGATCTACGAGCTACAAAAACTCGTTCACCTTGATCTGAGCGGCAATTTGATATCCGGTGACTTTTATTTTTGAATTTTTTTTCTCGAATAATGGTTTTTAAACTTTAGAGATGCTCAGAAACCCGGATTTTGATGGGATGTTCGAAAAATTTCAAAGTGAACATAAAATGCAAACCGGGCACGGTTTATTTGCAAAGCGTGCACAGGAGTGGCCAAAGCTTGATAGACCGTTTTTGCTTACTTTTCGTTATGAATGAATGATAGCTTGGCTTTTTCCGAGCTCATGACCGCATTTGGAATGGCTCAACTCGATTTATTCTTACCAGGGAATGGTCTCTGCTCGCCGTTGGACTTCTGAATGAGGCCATTTCTAGATGTAGTTTTTCAAGCTGATTCGAAATCCGGTCTCAGAAGCTGCCACATAGGTCTGTGAAAAAAGCTATGGACCCTCAAAAGTCGAAAATCTCATAATCTCCGACCGAGCTCATTTTTGGAGTGTATACAGTCCGTGATTCTCTTTTCACGGTTAGACTATTCAATTCTTACTGTTAACTAATTTTAAAAATTCAAACCTTCAAAACGAAGTTTTCATTTGATTGAACTTTTCAAAAATCTCAACTCCCAGTTATTTTCAGAGCTCGACGTCGACCGGCTGTACGAGAATTGCCAAGCCCTAGCTCAACTGAATCTTTCTGAGAACCCCCTGAGCCAAGAAACCAAAGAATCTCTAAAAAATCATCCGAAAAAACCAGCTAAACTTGTTGTAAAATTGTAAATTGTAAAGTTGTACATTGCTTTCAATAAAAATCTTGAAAGTTCATTTTTTGGCAATGTTGTTAAAAAGAAGGTCATGACTCAACGCGTTGCGGCAGGGTATTTTGAGGAAGTTACCGACCTCAAAACGACTTTCGCCAATTCTCAGACATCACTTTTGAATTTTGTACGTGAGCCGCTGCGCAACCGCAACGCGTTGAGCCATTCTACATGTGACCAGTAGAATAAAGTCAGTTTACAAGCTTCGCATTCCCCGTTGATTCAAAGTGGTACTTCTCTGTATAGATGAATTAAAAACTGTTGAATGTTCTTCTAAAACGAGGAAAATTCAGGTAAAACAACACCTGTGCTTCATAAATACCTTCCTTCTTCCCGTTGAAACGGAAAACCTTTATCAGAACTGTCCGATAGGGCGGATGAACCACCATAATCAATAATGCAGTACAAGGACCGTGTGACGATAAAACCACGAAACAATATGACATCCCTGGAAATGGGTTATTGAAGAAATAATTCTTTGATTCAAAGACTGACGTTCATTCTTCTGGTCCAGAAGGACGTAGCCAGTTTGAAAAAAGAGAATCGGGAAGACTCCTAAGACGACCGGTAGGAATACCTGAACAGACATTTTTATCAGTTAAATATAATCTTGAATTGCAATCGCTTTGAGACCATATCTGCACCTTCTCGATCGGACTTTTTTGTTTCATTCAGTTAGAGAAAGTGAGACGCAGACAGGCCCAACTTTCACGGAATTACTTTCCGACTTGTAAGGAAAGATATGTAGATTGACAAGGGTGAAGCGTTGCGTACGCGACGCGGCCTTATGGCGGGGAGCTTGAGGTCAAATTTAAAATATACACTGCCAGAGTCGGAAGTGCGGAAAACGGGTGCAAAATGGCCGCTAAAAGGGTTCCACTTTGCGGCCTTTATTGAGCCTTTCTTTCTTGATGGACTGAAAAGACTCAAAAGGGGCTGAAAAAAAGAAAGAGGCCGAAAAAATGGTGCAAAAAGGGTGCTGAAAGTCTTGGTCATCGATGATTTCCGATTTTATTACGGTCGCACATTTTAGTTTATAGACAGTCAATGGTTCTCCATTATAGAAAATTTTGTAGTTCTCAAAAGGGTCCAAAAAGGGTGGAGAAAGGCCGATGAAAGGACGGAAAAAGGTAGTAAAAAGGAAACCGTGGCTACCCGTTTAGGAAAAATTTATGGAAAATTTTTGATCCAAAACACACGCTCAAAGGTGCTTATGTAGATCATGCTTTTCAAGAAGGATTGGCTATAAAACTACAAGACCCACCATGAGCAAAAGCTGCCGAATATAGTTCTTTCTGGCCCTCCTCGTGGCTTCTGACACAGCATAGGTAGAAATCAAGGTGAAAGAATGGTAGGCCAGAGGAATTGTGAGAACGAAAGAGGAACAAGTCAAACATAGAAAATAGACGTGGACGAGGCCCAACTCTTTGTCGGAAATGTAATAATATTCAGGACCCCAAAAGTCGCAGGCGATTGTCGGCCAAGTCTAAAACTTCCTTTCTTTTCAATTAGTTTATTGATTCTGATCTGCAAGATCATGATGGGAGCTGCAAATTCGGCGAAAAAATTGAGCTTTTGGCTTTCTAATCTTTTGGGAGCTGCAAGTTGGCACGAAACTTGCAGCTCCCAAAGCGTGATAAACAGTCTAAAACTCTACGAATCGATTTTTCGTCGGAAGGTTCAAAATTTTGGCCTTCTCAACCTGGTTTTTAGCAGATTTTGGTCTGCTTAATCTGATTTTTAAGCAGAAAAAACTTTTGCGAAACTAGAAAAAAAAAACTCAACACTCGGGAAAAGTCGGATGGCCGCTAAAAGGCTCCAGAAAGGCTCCAAAAAGGCCACAGAAAGACTGCAAAAAGGGTCCCTTTATCGAGCCTTCCATTTCTTCTAGGACTCAAAAAATGGTGGGAAAGGGGAGGGGCAGCAAAAATGGTGCAAAATAGCCATGGCGCAAAAAGGCAGGAAAAAAGTAACATTTCTATGGAGCCTTTTTCCACCCTTTCCGACGTCGCCTATGCACGTTTTCTCTGTAATTTTCAAAAAAACAACGGGTAGCTCAAAAAGTTGATGATACCGATTGTGAGTGAATTTTCATCGATTCTAAATTTTTTTACTCTTTGCTTCTGGAATTTTTGAAAGTTACCGAGACAGCTTATAAAAAGAGTCCTCAAAATAAACAAAACATACTTTCTATAACTAATGTCTCACCTTTGCAATTATCAATCTCACTCTGTGCTGATCCGGCTCAAAAAGCGTCGGCCAATAACAACAAAATACGTACAATGAATATAAAACAGCCAGAAAAACGACTTTGGTCCTTTTTCCAAGTTTCATCGCATGACTGTGGGGTATGAATGACTGATGTTGATATCCAAAAACGGTGACAACTGATGCTCCAACGCCTGAAAAAATCGTAATACAATTTTAAAGTCTTGAGCGGACCTCCCAAGAAGCCTGTAGTGGCTTGTGCGAGGAACCTTGTAGACAGTCCCATGGAGCGCAAAAAACCTGTCGCAAAACCGCCGAAATAGGGTAGAAAAAAGACGGGACGGGCTCCGAAACCCATCATCCAACAAAAAGCCGTACTCCTGAAAATTGATACACTCGTCATAGTAATTTGAAGGAATCTTATTTAAATTCACAATAATTCAACAACTTCCACGGCATTCCTAATAGGGGGAGGGAGGCTTCAAAGTTTCTGAATTTACAAAAAAAGTAAGTGCGCGCTTCGGATAAAATGACGTCATTCTACACTGAATATTCAACGTTAATAACTTGTTTGTCCGATCGCCTTTAGCTGCGCACTTGAAATCTCAATTTTCGCGCCAAATTTTTTCTGACGTCTTCTTACCCCGTTTGGGAACGTCGTGATGTCCTTGTAAGGCTTCTAAATATTTTTGAAGGCTCTTTTTGGTTTCAATATTTGATTTTGACTTAAGCTAAAGCTCTGTGAAAAAATTAAAACTCGAGCTGAATACTTTTTGAATACTTCCGAAGCTCAAATCGGCTCCGTATTTGCCAAAAATTTTGAAATCGAGCTCAAAATAGCTTGAAAAATTGGACCCATTCGATTCAAAAAAGACGAACTCTCGCATGGGATCAAAATGAAGCTCAACACTGTGAAAAAAAAATTTTTTATTCGGAAAAAAATTCGAAGAATAACTTCCAAAATAAAAAAATTTTTTTTGAATTTCCAGGTGCAAGTTACGGAAGTAAAAGAACAGGTGTATTTTTTTTTTCGTCAATTTTATTACTCGCAAAAATGATTACAGTACTTTTTTAGGTTCTTCATTTTATTTGCCATAGTTTCAAACACCCTGACTTGTCTGCGCTCTCTTCTTTAGAAAAAAAAAGCGCGAAAATTCAGAGACATCAAATGTCTCAAGACCAAACTAAAAACAAAACTGACCAGAACAAAATGTTGAGCAGCGACAAGCGGTACATTTTCATTGCGGGAGGCGACTTTTTGATGATACAGTAGGCACAAATAATCGATAATGGCATACAAATCCAACCAAAAATGGCCATCAAATTGAAATATAGGGATCGATCCGGGAAGCCGCCGCATCGGCCGAAGACTTCCGACATACCTAAGCTTAGATTTTTTTTTGAATTTTTTTTAATATTCAAACATTGAGCAGGTTTTTCAACATAGTCTGTTCAAATTGTGAATTTCAAGGTATCCATCAAGCTCCGCCCCTAATCGCGCGATGAACCAATCAGAAAGCGAGCTATCTATAGAGCGTTTTCGAATGACGTCACTTTCTTGAAATTCAGAATATACGATGTTGATTGACTAGGAATTGAGCTTTAAAGCCTAAAAATCACTCCTGAATTCTTAAAAAATAAAAAATTCCAGAAAGCAATTCGATAGGAAACCAGCAATTTTGGAAATAAATAATGATAAAAAAGGCCGATTTTCTGCAGGTGGAAAAATTTGTCGCTGATGGAACTTGATTCAAATCACAGCCTCCTTTCTTACAACTAAGTAATCATAATCTTAGGGACCGCAAAGCCACGCCCCTTTTCGCGATAGAAAAAGTGGCTTTTTTTTGGTTTTCAATTTTAATTTTGTTGTAGTTGCAAAATATGTGGAACTAGCTTATAAAATTTGACACACTTGTACAGAAAAGCTTCCTCTTTCATTTAAAAAAATATTTCACGCTTTTTTTGATGCGTTCTCGCGGAATGTCGTACAAAAACGTGAATGGGACTAAAAAATTTTGTCGTTTTTTGCTTTTTCATGTGTTTTCAGGTCGAACGCACTCTTTCTTTTTTTAAATAATGATTTTGATTCAAGTAACGGTAATTTTAAAGCAATAAAATAAAAAAATTCGTCTTTGCCAAAAAAATTTTTAGGGAGTGCCGAAAGTCATAATTCAAAATATCGTTAATAAGC